GTGTCTAGGTTCCTAGCGTATTCACAATCAATATATTTTTCTGATTTTTTTTGGCCCGGCATTCTCTTTTGTTTGTATGCATTGAGGGCTGAAATGAGCATTGGTAGGGGGAGGTTGCAGTCGGCATTGCGGACTCAGCCCCCCCCCCCCGCCGAAAGTATATAAATTCATGTCCTGCCCGCATCAGAAACAAGAGCGTCTATCTCAAGCATCCACCATGACAAATTTCTGCGTCGGTATTCACCATGGCGCGTCTTGGCGTCGATGTCCGCTGATTGGTGTGCCTCTGTGCCGGCATTCAGGAAGGTATGTCTGTGTGCTAGTACTAATGTCTCGCGTTGGTGTCGACTGCGGCGTGACTTTGTGTCAGTAGTCGCCATGGCATGTCTTGGCGTTGACATTTTCCATGGCCTATATCCGTGCTCGTATTTGCCATCGGCATTCGCCTGTGGTGAATGGCACCATTCACCACCATTTATCATGTCGGCATCCGCCACGACGCTCACCAACGTGTTTCTGCGTTGCCGTCATCCATACGATGTATCTCCGTGCTGCTGCTCTTTACATGTGTCTCATTGTCGACATTCGCCGTGGTAAGTCTCGGCAACAGCACGCTCCCGTGTCGGCATACTGGTGGCGCGCCTGTGTGTCGGTATACGCCGGCGCGCGCCTCCGTGCTGGCGCCGCCCTGCCAGCCTCACGGCCCGCCATTATCATTACCCAATCGCTTTGCGGGGCTTTCGGCGACGATCCGCGGATTTATCGTTATGAACCGCTGCTACTTTGTTATGGAGGCATAATGGCTTCATATACGAGCTCCCGCTGCGCGCCCGGCTTTACCGCAGAAATAATATGAATAAATGGTGCGCCCTGAAATATTCATAATTGACTAACTTGCTCCATATGCCAAGCTGGTGCCTAAATGTTTCCCTTAATGACATAATGAATATAGATGCTTGGCATGAGAAATGGAGAAATAATATGGTTGCTTGCCACGCGCCCGGCGCGGTATTAAATCCGCCAGATTTTTGGACGCCCTAACTTTTGTGTTGATCTCTGCACGGGATGGAAGTATTAATAAAGTTAACTGTCTACCAGCGGTTTGCATGCTAATTGGTAACCCTTTAGCATTTGAAACGATATGCCACATTTAGCCTGTTTCGGCCTAATGTGAAAAGTTTACTAAACCCACGCTGGATACATTCGTCTGCAGCGCGCCGAGCAAAGATTGGTTAAGCTTCGGTCCCGTGATCAGTGTTAGACAGATCACACTTTAAATGGAAATTTTTTATGTATTCCATTTGAATTTCGGTGTCCCACGCTATAAAGGGGGTCAATTTTATTGACATCAACCATTTTATCATTTTACCATGACCTTACCATTACGTGACAACGATTCAGATTTTGTGTCGACAGGGATGCGTCCTTTGTCCTATTTTTCATCTTATCGTCCTTTTCGTTTATTTCAACCACACTGTTTGGACAAACATTTATGCGAACATGAGGCTATTATCCTGCGAATTCAAAAAAGAGTAATGCTATGGCTTTGGTTTCTCCTCCATGGCGTTTACCACGCGCCCCTTTTCGAGGCGCGCTTCGTCTTTGGGAAGCATCACATGGTCGCAGGTGACAAACTGGTCCAAAGTGGCGCACAGTGATTCACTTCGACCAATGTGCTTCTCGGTGAAAGGCCCTTCCTACCCGCTGAGCCAAACACAAACGCTCTTTTATTCGCACCAGTAGAGATTCCACGGTGTTTGTTATACAACGGTGGTCGCGACATTTGCAGGAAGGAAGCGTGGTGCTGTTGCATAGCGTTGACAGCTCAACTGAACTCGAGGATATTCAAGGCTGAGATCCTTATTATGTCTTGACGGCGCTGCAGTGACACCACCCAGTGCTATCATCAGACGTAACTGGTTCTGAGGTTTTACTAGAGTATGCGTTTTTAAAAATATGTCCCAAAGGTGGGACACTCCCTCTAATTGCTGACAATGTCTACGGCTTACATCTGGAACGGCCAGGAGTGAAATGACGGCTAGAACACTACCGCTATCTATTTAACCAACGATTTTAAAGTCAGCATTTTGTTAATGAGGGGTCCACTCTTTGCAATGCGTCACAGGCTTTACAAATTTTCTAGACGTCGTAGCCCATCCTTGGCGACTTCGGACTTGGATCTGCCGCCTCTCCTCCGGAACACCTAACCATCTGGAGCCCACGACCATGTTAGTCATACCAAGGCGGCATCACTATCATTCGCCTCAAGGTTGTCCTGACCATTTTGGGCACATGAACTCTCTCCAGAACGCCCTGGCCTCTGAAATATGTCGAAAATATTGTTAATCATTGCAAATGTTTCAGAATCTTTGCTGTTTTTGGATCGCTGATCGTTTCGAAACCCTCAATTCTGTCCGGTATTTGACGACTAGATAACCTTTGAACCGATGTAATCCACGCCCCATCTTTCCTAGCTTGGTCATGTTCCTCCTGCTTGATTGATACCAAAGGCACACAGGGGCACAGCCAGAGCCTTGGCTGGGGGTGGCGTGGAGGGCACAGCGCTCAGAAAGTGCCACCTGGTGGTGAGAAGGTCCCCCGAAATGAATTCCCCAAATTTAGCTCACTTGATTTCAAACTGGCATGGTTTTTTCGCTTAATTTTTAGTTTTAACTGTAGCTGAAGCAGAGGCCATGAAACACACGACAAGAAATAAGTCTGTTCGCCTTTTGAGGTCATAAACTAAAAGAAGTGGGCGTGTAATGACCTTAAAATAAGTGGATCGCCGGTGCGATGTGTTTTGCAGCGATTAAGTGGACTGTTTCTGAACCGATAGACCTCAGAGGCTTTATCATAGGTTTTCTCGGTTCTGCTGAGACATTGAGGACTTCGTGAACGTTGACTGTAGATCAAAATAGAGTTAACTGAGCAACTGAAGGAAGTTCCTCTGAACGCTCTATGAAATCAGTTCATGCGTTTAGAAGGCAGTCCTTGAGGATATTCACCCGTGCGATTTTTAGATTGATAACAGGGACGGATTAGCATCTACAGCGCCGCGAAATAGTGCTGGAATCTGGTGTTGGATCTCAGAGGGCAACGGACGTATCTCTATTTTTTGTGTCGCCATAACTGTTAATCTGTTCAGAGGACGACCTGAAAATTATTAAGGTGAAACGCACGCTCAGATCAAGTCTTTTAAACGGCATGAAATGCGACTTGAATTTGAAGGCTTTCGAAAGCATCATTTCACGACGGTTGTTCTCGCGAGTCCGCCGCCTGCTGCCTGTTTTATCTGCAGCGACCAACGCCGTCCGGTTTCATGGGAACTGCAAGCTGCCCAGCTGCTCTCGCCCCTAAGATCGGTTGCGCGCACAGTCAAAATTGTTTGGTTAGTTTGCCTCGCATGCCGATTTTGCCAAGGGATGGACGTTCATAGGCAAGCATAGGGTGGGCTTTTCTTGATTTTTGACTACCCTTTGATGCATTCTATCACATTCCAATGAAAAGCCTTACCTTTTCTGGCCAAGAGGCCCTTGGGTAAAACACAAGGGAACGTGTCTTCGTTCCCGGTCAATGTCTGAAGGGGCATTTCGCCAGCGTGGGATATCTATCGGCTGCCATTCCGGCGACACATAGGCATGGGTCCCCGATCGATCTGGAGGCCCTTGGGAGGAGGCATTATACATTAGTCACCCCCCTGGCCCGCAGGTGGTCAAATCATTGGCACATAGACTCCAGTTCGGCTCAACGGGCCCTCAATTAAAATGGGATCAAGCGCCCTGTTACGTACTGGAAGCTTTCACTGCCGCAGGGCCCTCCATTGTCTCACCGCGCAGCCATCATAAGCTCTCACATTTCATTACATTTCCAGAGGGCTCAAACAACGTAAGAGGTCCTCTGACATTCGGGGTCCAGTCGCTGCCCGCGTTCAGCAAATGTTCCCCTGGCTCATTCGGGACCCCTAACCGACACAGGAACACCTGTCAGGCACTTTAGACCCGACCGACCAGGGGTCCCTCATTGCTTTAAGAACCCAGACCAATGCCACTCGCGGGTTCCGGTCTTCCTGCTGCTCGGGAAGTGGTCCGCGGAACCCAAAACAACGCGGAGCCAACTGCTCGGTGTCGGTACCCTCTGGCCGAAATAGGGGACTGCATTATCCAAGGTGGTTCTCAGTCGCTGGAGGAGGCTCCTGACTGACATATAAGGTCCCGGTCTACGCACCGGGAGTCTTAATGTGACCTGCAGTCAGTCGTTCGGGACCCTCAGCCCCTTAAGCCTTCCAATCTGACCCTCGCTCGTCAGTGTTCGAGGGGGCCCCTTCGGGCCCACCCGAACACTGTCTCTGGCCGACTCGTGACACCTTACCAACACGGAACCCTCTTGTAGGCACTGTGGGTCCCTCGACTGACACAGGGGCCCCTCATTAACCCGGGGAGCCCCGATCGATGCAAATTGCCGGCCCGGCCTTGTCCCTGCTTGGGAAATGGGCCCCCACGTCCAGACCGATACGGAGCGGACTGTCCGGTACTAGTGGTGTCTTACCGACATAGAGGCCGTCATCGGATCAGGATGCCCCAGTCAGCGCAAAGGACCTCTGGCTGTCATTGGGGGAAGGGGGGGGGGGGTCTGGCCTGCCGGACCGCGACCTCTATTACTACCTTCGGCCATCTCTTCGGGTCCTTCGGGCCCTCAAAGACCGTAATCGTCGGTCCTATGGGACCTTTTGAGCCCCTCGTGAACTAAGGGGAGCACGCGCCTGTTGTGCCCCTCCCCCTGCCTGCACCACTTAAAGTACATAATGTGAGGTTTCCTCTCGTCACGTCAACAAATCTCAGGAGCTTATTTTAGCAGAACTATTAGCAGAGCTTGTTAACACTTTATTTATCCTCCCCGCCCCGGATATCCAGATAACTTCAAAACGCCGCGGCAGCGACAAAAGTGGTGAATTCTATTCGTGTTTTGTTTGGGGCGTTCTACGTAATCCGTACATGATCGACCGAGAGGCGGCATATGTCCATAGTTGGAGTTATCGTGAACAGTGGAAGTAGTGCTAATTAAAAGTGTTACAAAATGCTGCGAGCATAATATCGCCAACCATGAACTACGGTACCGTGAAGCATTGAGTTTTGAAGTAAACTAGCTCAGTCATACGCACCAAGTCGTCATTTCAGGCGGGATTATGCTGGAGTGAAACTCTAGTTTCTTTTGCATTGCTTCCGACCACAGACGAATTGTACTAATTTAGATGCTTCTAAGATGCTGGAAATAATAGCATGCATAGTTTGAGTAGCAAAAACATATTTGTGGGTCATATTTTTTGTCACTATGCTTTTAGGATTATTGTGCTACCATACATGGCCACTTACAAACTGTGTACAAACCCAAACCTTGCAATGTATTGATTTTCTTGCCTTTCCAACTTCTAATATTAACTCAATCATTGATCAAGCTGTTTGCAAGCTTTTTTCCAAACAAAATTGATAAGGCTTGTGCTTAATGTCAATCACATTTCTTGCCAAGCATTCATTTATCACTTAGTCCTTACACCAGTGCTGTGCTTTCACACCTGGCTTTTACATCCCATGAGGTAGCACAAGGGAAATATGACTGCATTCTGGTATTGTCATCTTGTTTGTTAAATAGTTTTGTGCAATTAGTTTGTCATTGTATTACAGGTCCAGCTGCAATGGCAAACACCATAGATGGAGAGCGGAACTTCTTCGCGAAGGCCACACAACACTTGGCCAGGGCACTAGCAGGGCAGAAGAATGCTAAGATGGATAAGGTATGGAGTGAATGATTTGATTTGCAGGGTGTGTAGACTGGGAGAGGTCATGCAGGAAGTTATGGAGTTGGCTGCATGCCATCTGAAAGAACAGCATGCATGCTTCAATGCCAGCTCAAAGAACAACATGCATGCTTCACAGCTTTTAGCATGGTGCATACATTATATTTACCAGACTCCCAAATAGTGGTGTTTATAGTGGGCCATGTAGTGGCCTTGTGCACTATGACACAAGAATGGTGTGTCATGCCATTCAGGTTTTACTTCTAGTCTCCCAGTACAGCAGAGTATGATGACAGGTCCAGACTACTGGCAGAGAAGCCCACAGTGGCATGGAGCTTGTCTGTATGGATCCTGCTGCAGCAAGAACCCTTTCAGGTGCACTACAAGGATGCATGGGAATCTCTAAATCATGGAGTTCTTGGAGCACTGGTGCTTGATGCTTCTGGCACATGGAGCATGATGGCTTTTTTCTCTGTCAAGCACATTTTCCATGGTAAAGAGGTTCAAGCAGTCCCGCAATTGTACCTGGCCCGTTATGCATGGGATTGGCAGGCTCAGGGCTCAGACCAGGTCAAATGTCACGGATGCATGGCCGCACACCATGTTTCGCAACGCGGACTCGAGCTGTCCGATAAGCAGGCCACTAACTTTTGTTTTTGAGTTTTTCATGGACCGGAAAGCGTTTCCAGGCCTCAAGCAGTTTCTGGCTAGCACTGAGGCTGTCATCGATGAGGGCGGTTGTGGCTTGGGTTGGTTGTTGACTCGATTTACGTCTTCGTACAAACCCTCCAGCAGGTATCTGGGGAACTCTCGTGCGTCCTGTCGCTGATGGCCTAGAATCGGGCCGTGAACTACTGTAACTGTACCTTCAACAAAGAGGTGGTCAGCACCTGGCCGCTATCATCTGAGGTCTTCCATAGGCCCCGCATTAGCGTGGCAAACACCCTTATGAGAGCATCCTTCATGGTGAAGCTGGTCGTGTTGATGTCTGGAGCACTCGCTTCATAGAATGTAGTCACGCAGGGCGCGGGTGTTGTTTAGGCATTGCAGCACCGCATTCACGAAGCACATAGTGCTGATACTCCGGAATTCCGTAAAGCTGAACGCCCGTGTCACGGTCCGCGCCCTACCGCCTTCTTGTCCCGAGCTTATGATCCCCGGGCAGCTGGACGGGGAGGCGGCCGGCCTGGGCAGGTGACCGGGCAGAGCTGCCCCCGGTTCCACCGTTCAGCACGCGCCCGCTCGGCTTTGTTGCTTCCCTTCCGCTCGTTCCAGGTGCTTCTCAGTGCTCAGTCAAACGAATGCGTGAGCGGAGTAGCGCTGGTATGATTGCTGTAGTTTGTGTGCTTACCAGCTCATAACTGATGCTTTTGTCCATTTCTTCTCAGCAATTGTTATTCAAATGTCATGCACTGTCATGCCATGCACACAGCCATATTGGATGCTCCAGACATGACACGTTGGCGCATAATTGCTCTGCACGTGGGGATTGAGTAGCCATACGATGGCCATGTCTGTCAGTGCAAAGCTCCTTTGTAGAGATTAAGCAAAGAGTGAAACACCTGGGCCTTGTATGCTCTGTGCCTTGCAGTAGTGATTGGCCAGGCATTTAAAGGTGGCATGTGTATGCTCTTCCTTGTTATAGTTGCTGACCAGACAGTGGCACAGCCCAGGCATGCTTGTGCATGCTGTGCTGTGCCCTGCGGTAATGACTGACCAGACAGTGGCAAAGACCAAGTCTGCTCGTGTCCACTATGTCGTGCTGCGGCGACGAACTTAGCAGCGACACAGCCAGGGCCATCCTCTGCACTCTGTGACATGTCGGTGTACCTTGCTGGTCAGGTGGCGCGCCTCATCAGCCTGCTGCCGACGGTGCCGGCCGAGGGCCCGTTCCAAGTGGGCCGACGCGGCCAGGAGGCCGTCTGGGCGCTGGCCATCTTCCTGCTTGAGTCGCGCCTGCAGCACCTGGACGTCATCTTGCCGCGCCTGCTCGAGCTGCTCAGCGCCCTGCCGCGTGCCACGCGCTTCGAGGACTTCCGCATCCACCTCTCTGACCGTGAGCACCGGGTTCACCGCGGTCACTGCAATTACACAAGGTCACCGTCACGGCTGTGTGTGAGGTTTATAAAGGTCATATTACAACGGCTCGCGTGGGTTTATAGCAGACACTGTATTTCTCCTTTGCTGCTCCATATGACTGAAATAAGCTGTCTCTGAGCAGAAGTTATGCTGCCTTATCTTGTGAGTGCAACTCAAGAATATAAGGCACAGTGGCTCTGAACCATTCACAAACTATGTGCTCATCTCGGATGCTAGTTTTGAAATTGGTATCTTTCCATGGATCATTGGTCCCACCGAATGCCGTCGTTGCGTCGTGGTTGACGGCCGGCGTCGCGTGCACCGCCAGGGCACCCTTCCAGCGAGCGGTTCGCGTTCTGCCTGGCCACGGCGCTGTCGGACGTGGCGGCGCAGCGGCCCGACAAGCGCTCGGCCATCCTGGCCGCCCAGGTGCGCGTGTTCGCCGACTTGGTGGGCGCGGTGCGCGCGCGCCGCGACAGCCCCGACATCGGCCCCATGTCCGCCAGAGGTGAGCAGATGTCGCCTGCGGTAGTACGGAACACGCGAGGGAACCTAACCTAACCTTACCCATCCCAAGCCAACCTTACCTAACCTTACGCCCTAAACTAACTTAGCCCAGCCTAGCCCAGCCTAGCCTAGCCTAGCCTAGCCTAACTTAACTTAACTTAACTTAACTGAACTTAACATAAGCTAACCTAACCTAACCTGCCCTAACCTAGCATGTGGTGTGAGTAATTTGGGATGGTAGCATCAAACCAAATCGAGCCAAAGAGGACCTTTCGCCTCCACGGTCTACGCAAGAAAACTATAACCGAAACGCTAGGGGGCTGGCGAGAATACCATTTGATCTCGCCCACGCCCACGGGGTGTTTTAACGGTGACCTATTTCCACCGGCTCTCCACGACTCCCGTCCCCCCCCCCCCCCCCCCCCCCCCCCCCCCCCAGGTGCTACAGTTGTACCGCTGAACTAGTAGCGAGTGTAGCTCGTCTGGACTGCTTGCGCGTCGCCGCCACAACGTCCCATTGCCGTCTGTTACGGCGCCAACTGCGTGTGTCCTCAGTGCAGCTGTGCGCGACGACGGTGCCGCTGCTGATCGGCCTGGCGCGCGCCATCGGCCGCTCGTCGGTGCAGGAGCCGCCGCTCTTCTTGCGTATCTTCCCGCGCCCGGTGCCGCCGCCGGCAGCGCCGGCGCCGCCGCCCGTCGACAGCCGGCCGGCCAAGCGCTCCTTCAGCAACTTCCGCTCCATCATCCCACGTTCCATGAGCAGCAACTTCCCGTCGGGCACCGACCTCAGCGTGGTGGACACGTCGCGCCCGTCGGGACGCGACCCCCGGTGAGGGCGGGGTTCGGCTCAGGGAGGCCGCTCGGCGGTCTGGCGGCGACGCCGCGCGTCGAGCCGGCTGCGGGCGTGATGTCGGAGAGCGGGCTGGCGTGGCTGCCGCTCAGGGCAGCGGCCGCTATAGATGTTGCAGTGGTCGATATGACGGTGCTTTGTGACCACCTGGCTTGCGCTGATGTCACCTTGTGAGGCGCACTTCCTGGCTCGTCCAGTACGTCAGATCACTGACCCGCCTGGCCACGACGTTTGACTGCCAGCATGTCCTGTCAGGAGACGACAGCCTCCGCTGACGGCTGATGCTGCTCTGTGTCTGTGAAGATGTGCGTGAGAGCTGGGCTGAGTGCTGCGCCTCCGCCGCAGTTCCCGGCCGCCGATGCTGGCCACACAACCGTCGGTGCCCCTGGACCCGCAGTACCAATACTTCTGCAAGTTCGGCTCCAGCTTTCAGCCGAGCCAGCCGGCCGTGGCCGGGCAGCGCGAGTGCAAGAACCCGCTCGTGTTCTCCGTGCAGCAGCTGGAGGTGCGGTCGGCCTCGTCCCTCCTGTCAGCGGGGCGGGACAGACGCTGCGTCGGACCTCGTCCGACATCGCGCCATTAAGCTATCGCACGGGCCTCCCCTCTTGTCAGCGGGGCCGGACAGACGCTGCGCCGGACCTCGTCCGACACCGCTACACTGAGCTATCACACGGGCCGCCCCTCCTGTCAGCGGGGCCGGACAGACACTGCGCCGGACCTTGTCCGACATAGCTTCATTGAGCTCTGTCGGTCGCTGCTAAGCCCTCTTAATCCGTACTCAAAGTCTCACTCACGGCTGTGGCTGTCGAGGACCTGGTTGTGGCCTTGTGGTCTGTGGTCTGCGGTCTGTGGCCCATCTGGCTTGCGGTTGCCCAAAACGCATGCGACCGCAGTGCGCGGTTTTCTGCTGCGCTTTTTTGAACAAATGGCTTTGAGGAGGGTTGCTTCATGCTCCCGCAAATTGTGTGTTCCAAACCATTAGACAAGGGTAACCAACCGTGATTACAGGCAGCCCGGAAAAGTCGTTAGTGTACTTGAGACTATTATATGCATGGTCCTTGCTATAAGTGGCATTTGGCATAAGTGGGAAGCGTGTCTCTAGTGACCCACTTAAATGGTTAAGCCCGCACTGTCAGTATAGTAGCACGATGTAGGTTGTGACAGCGGTAGTGCAAGCGGAATTCCGGACCCTAAAGATGGCAGTTACGTTTAGCACTGACTGTGAGACACGAAGAGCGCCATGACCAGGGTGATTGATTGTCTTGAGGTGGTGACATGGCTCGCTGGAGCTCGTTGTCTTCCTCCTGTCCTCACTGGCTTGTGACAAGCGCTCTTTGTTTGTTACGACGGCTCGCTAGAGCCGGATATGTTCCTCCACAGGAAGTGCTCAGCCTGGCCAAAGTACCTGCTGGTGAAGGACGTGCTGACCTTCCTAGATGACCAAGCGACCGACGTCTTCTCGTCGGAGCCGAACGCCATTTTCCCCTACCAGACGTTCAACGAGATCCTGAACCTGACGATCGCCGCCCTGTTGAGGGAGCTGCTGCAGCAATCAGACGGGTGCGGCGTCGCCGGCAGCCGCTCCCCCCCGGCCGACCGGCTGCCGGACCGCTCGGCCCGGCCGGCCGCCCGGCCCGGCCCCGGGCCCCGGCGACGGGCCCCGGCCCCGGCCGACGGGCCCCGGCCCCGGCCGGACGGGCCCCGGCCCCGGCCGACGGGCCCGGCCCCGGCCGACGGGCCCCGGCCCCGGCCCCGGCCCCGGCCGACCGGGCCCCGGCCCCGGCCCCGGCCCCCGGCCCCGGCCCCGGCCCCGGCCCCGGCCCCGGCCCCGGCCCCGCCCGGCCCCGGCCCCGGCCCCGGCCCCGGCCCCGGCCCCGGCCCGGCCCGACCGCCCCGGTCTGTCCCTACTCTCCGATCGGCAAAGAGGCGTGGGGTCATGTTTTGTGTTCACATCTCTATTATAAAAGCCAGATGGAAGACAATTTGGATGTACAGGTTTGTGCAGGCATGCCGATGTACAGGTTTTGCAGGCATGCCGAGCACAATCGTCCCGAAGGTTCGCTGACGAACGTGGCACCTGTCCGCGTGCACGTAAAAAGCTGTGTTAAGCGAAAGTCCTGAACTCATCAACACTCGAGCTGGCATGTCCTGCAGCTAAATGTATGCAAGACAAAAACAAAGGGCGTACTTTTGTGCTTCTTTCCATAATGCTTTGTTTCGAGAGTGGTCGTGGCGGTGAGGAAGAGGAGGTCTCGTTTAGCGGTATGGTTAGAAAAGCCATACTTACCGGCAAGTCGACTTACCTGTTCCTTTGTCATCGGCTTCGGATGTTAAGTTGGACTGCCTGTGAGAAGTTCAATAGGGGTGGTTCACAGCCGGGTCCTAAAGTATGTAATTGTCAAGGTCGAGGGTGGGCCTGTCACCGGACTCTGCGGCTGCTGTGTCCGTACAGACCATTAGCCAGGACGTGCGATAGGTTTGAAGACGTGCTCGGCTGCTTGTGCTTGTTACATTGTGATTTCACCGTTTCGATTTTAACCTGTAATCTGCCTGCGTGGCGGTAAAATGATACTCACTTCGAGCTTATGTCTGCCACGTTTCATTGTTGCTAACTCTGATTAGTTCTTGTGATTTTGTTTTTCGTTCACGATCCGCCGTTTAATTATGAGATATAGAACTGGCCTGGTTTCAAACGATGCTTTGTTGATGGTTCGTGTTCTAACGGTTTTTTTCTGTCGTAATTTGAGCTGACATTTGTTTCTGAAAGGTGGCATGCTCCACGCAAATTGCCATACCTCAGACGAGCGAAGTAGCTGCTTCAGAAAAGTGAGGCCGTTCGTCGACACAGTCACGTCTGCCTGACCGCCTTGTGTCACACGCGCGCGTCGGTGCACCTGTGTTTCAGACCTGCCGGCGCCGTTCACCCGCGACGTGCAGGAGTTCATCAAGGGCCTGTTCCTGTCGGGCCAGACGGAGCTGCAGAGCCGGCAGCAGGACGAGGCCGAGGCCGCCGACCGTCGACACAACTTCCAGGCCGTCAACAAGTACAAGCTCAACGTCCAGGCGAACGCCGCCTGCGTCGAGCTGCTGGTCTGGGCCGTCAAGGACGAGGCTGGTACGCCGCCCCGACTCTGCGTCCAGAGTGACCTTCGTCAGGCGACCCCCCCCCCCCTAGAGTTGCACACTCCCCGGGGCATTCCCTTTTTCAAAGCGCCGATCCGCGGCCTCTGTGACGCTTTTCTCTATGACCCTCCACCCCACAAGGCTCCATTCATCAAGAAGCTGTCTCTCCAGGGATCACTTTGCTAGTTGGTTTTCTCAGTAGGGCGCTGTGCTTGAGCACCCCTCTTTCAGGGCATCGCTGTGCAGGTGGACCTTTCACGGGTAGATCTGCTCCAGAGTAGCTCTCTGGGGATAGGGCCCTCTCAGGGTACCCAGTCCGTGGGTACCGGTCTCGGAGCGCTCCTTCTCCCAGTGCGTGCCTCTCCCATGACGTCTCCCCCAAGACGCCCCTGGCACTCCTCTGCAGGGCGCCCGTCTCCCAGGATGGCCCTCTCCCTGGACGTCGCTCTCCCAAGACTCCCCTCTCCAAAGAAGGCCTTCTCTCAGGATGCCACTCTCCCATGGCGTCTTTCTTCCATGATGCTCCTCTCCCACAACGCCTCTCTCCCAGGATGTTACTCTCCCATGACGCCCATCTCCCAGGACGCCACTACCAGGACGCCCCTGACACCCCTCTCCCAGGGCCACTCCTCTTCCGGTAGGCCCCTCCCCAGGTCGCCCTCTTTCAAGGCGCCCTCTGCATTGCTCGCGGGCCAAGACCCGGCCGCGTGCCATGGTGCGCCGATGTGCCTCATGGCCGTGCGAACTCGTCTGCTGGTGGACACAGTCTGCAGTGTATTCCGCGCAATCTCGGAACGGATCCGGCCACACCTACACCTGCTTAAGATAGGGCCCAGGGAAAATGACCAGGTGACAACGCTCGGGGAGAGTACCTAGCGATAGGGCTTATTGAATTAATGATGCATGCGTACTTTCTAGGTTTACTCTGCGGGGGTTGGGTGGTCATGCTGGGTTAGAAATGTCTTATATGCATCATTAATGTGTTAAGATATTGTCCACGCGAGGTGTTTCGATAGTTGCAATCCAGCAACGATGTTAGGATTAAGCTACCGTAAGACAACAGGATTGCTGTCAGGATGACACCCAGGGTCATTTCTAAGGCATTTGTGCTCTTCCCCCCTTCAATTCAGTGGTGCTAGTGACCATCAGTCAGAAATGTAAATAGTATCATAAGCATTGTCCTTGGATCATCTTTGTGCTTGCGTACAGCGTTGGAGAATCCCCGTGGGTGATGAGATCCCCCTTCCAGCCCTTATGAAGGTGAGCTTCTTGCCAGATGGGGGGATACACCTGCGGTGCCGGTATTAATATACGGCTCTGGCCCTGCCAGGGGCGGACAGCCTGTGCAGCCGGCTGACGGAGAAGCTGACCTCGGGCCACGGCCACCGGATGGTGCTGGCCCACATGCCGCTGCTGCTGGTCTGTCTGCAGGTGGGTCTCGGCACTCGACTAACGGGCTCGCAGTCTCCGGCACCCCTGTACCCCTAAATCGGGGCATTCTCGCTGTCCTGCCAGCGACAAGGCCTAGATTTATTTGATCTCATAAACACAGATCAAGCCCCAGGCTTAGGAACAGGTGAGTGAATGGTGGGGGACACCAGTCGGGGGAGGGGGAGCGGGCGGGTAGCAGGAGCCCAGATTTGCCTTCTGTTTGTCGCGTTTAGGCTCTCGCTGGTACCTTGTCGTTGGTTGTCGGCTGCGTCTCCGCTAACGTTGAGCCCGTCACTCCGCCCAGGGCCTCGGCGAGCTGGCGCAGCGGTTCCCAGCGATCGCCTCCAGCTGTATCCGCTGCCTGCGAGACTTCCTGGTGCTGCCGTCGCCGATCCTGACCCGGCTGCATCGGCAGCAGAGTGACGTCATCACGCCATCGGGCCAGAGCATCACGCTGACAGGTGGGACCTCAGGACTGGGGGCGTCACTGGCCCGGCGGGTGGGACCCCAGACCCGGGAGTATCTCTGGCCCGGCGGGTGGGACCCCGGAGCTGAGGGCGTCACTGGCCCCTCGGGTCGGGCCCCGAAGCCGGGAGCGTCACTGGCCCGGCGAGTGAAACCCCAGAGCCGGGGGTGTCACTCGCCCCTAACTTTTGGGATGCCGGAGCCGGGGGCGCCACTCGCCCGGCATGAGACGCTGCGTGCAGCCAGACCAGCATACCGGTGTGCGATGCTCGCCACCCCACAGAACCAGAGCCTCGCGCGGGCAAGCGGGACTTTGCACCGTGTGGAGTCTGAACACCACGCGGCAAGTGGGGACCCCGGGCCGGGATGGAAATCGGCGCTGAAGCAATTGCAGCATCCTTGCTGCTGCCGATATCCACTTAAAGTTGTAGGGTGCTTACAGTGAACAATACTTATCAGCGGTGAAAATCCACACTCTTGGCATGCGTATGGTTTTGCTAGGAAGATTAGGCCTATTGCTCAATAGATGAGGTATCAGCCATCAGGTATCTTCAAGTGTCAGGCATCATTTTGGTATCCCTTTTTTCCGCGCCACCTTTTTATAAGATAAAGAAGGCTAAAGCTGCACTACAAACAGTGGATGCAGCAGTGGTAAGTGTGGTTCCGTGCATTATAAGCCAGAACGAACTGAGTTTTTTTTTTAGCTCTTTCTGAATTAGTTACTTAGTTGTTAAGGTTAAAGGACGCTTCAGCTGCCTTGGTTATTTGCGCCCTCGCTTTCTGAATACTGGCATCACTTTCCATCTAGCTAAAAGCCGATTTCAGGCCTGTCCTGGGCCGGCCTCTGACCACCCCTTGCCCGGTGCCGTCAGTGACGGACACGACGGCGGCGGCACGGGCCGGCCGCAGCTCCGACTCTGCCCTGGGGCAGCTGCGAGACGCCGCCATCGAGAACCTCTGCGTGGCGCTGAAGGCGGGCCACACGTACGACGAGGTCACCATCAAGGCGTTCGTGGCGTCCGTCTCTAACCGGCTCTTCACCGCCACGCACCGCACGAAGTAGGTCGGGTGGCGCCCGGAGCCGGGAGGAGGGGGGGGGGGGGGGGGGCGGGGCGTGCTGGCCCGGTGTGGACACGTGAGCCAGAGGCTCGGTGGCCCAGGTCTCACTGGTGTTGCGGTATATCACGGACACTGTACGTCGGCGTTGTGGTTTAATCGTGCATTGGCTCGTTTTAATTGTTGTCATGATGCCCTGCTCGTTTCGGCTACGCGTGCGGGTCATCGGCCGCGTTGTGTTTCAGTTGGTTTTACTGCCATCTGGTCCTCTGCCTCTGTATCCGTCTTTCACTCAGCGTTGGTAGGGGATTATTCCTAACGTTCGACCCCCCCCCCCGGACACACTCCGCCATTTCCTTCATGCCAGCTTTAGAATCCTGCCTCCGAGTTCTGGATTCCCTTTTCGTCATCTTGCACATCACCTTTCTTTAACTTTATCCGTTCTTCGTTGCCTTTTTGTTCTCGTCTGCATCCCATCGTTGCTGTCTGCCGTTTCCGATCACTGACCCGGTTCACCGGCCGCGTACCGTTTCAGCGACTACAACCTGATCACGTACAACCTGATTATGGCGCTGGGCCATGTGGCTGTGGCGCTCAAGGACACGCCGGACACCACCTACTCGATCCTGCAGTTCTTCATGCAGATCTTCTGCCGCCGACCCAGTGAGGTGGACGTGCTGATCGTCGACCAGATGGGCTGCATGGTGCTCGCTCGGAGCGAGGTGAGACGTGCTGGCCTCGGTGGAGGCGTGGGAGAGGGGGAGGGGAGGGGTGCACCAAGCCCACAGGCTGGGTCGCAACTGACCAGTCTGTGAATAGTACGCACTCGTCTCGTCTTTCCGTGGTGTATCATAGCTCCGTCGTTTGTCCCAATACCACACAATTGGGACACTGTCGTCGCTTCTTCAGAATCCATAGCGATTTTGTTGGTCATAGTTGTATTGCAATTTGAAATTGACGATCGATAGCAGGGGATTTGTTGTCCTGTCACGTGACCGCGTGTTGCGATCAATTATCTGAAGAATGCCTGTGTTCTCAGCCGCGCGTCTGTGGAGGAATGGCGAAGATGTCTGGTTCGCCACCACATGACATCTGTCAAACGACCCGGTGTCGCTTCTGGCTTTTGACGACTGTGGGTCGTATTTTCAGCCGCGTGTGTACGAAGAGGTGATGAAGGTGTTCACCTTGATCACGGTGGAGTCGAGCAGCACAGCGTATTCAGATCAGTCAACCGGCGATGACCGCGGCAAAGACTACAGGTTAGACGCTGACACCCGCCAAGGTCAGACGCTGACACCCACCATGGTCAAACACTGACACCGCCGAGATCGGATGCTGGCACCCGCCGAGGTCAGGCACTGACACCCGCCCAGGTCAGGCACTGACACCGCCGAGGTCAGATACTGACACCCCCGGAGGTCTGGCACTGACGCCCGCCGAAGTCAGGCACTGACACCCGCCGAGGTCAGGCGCTGACACCCGCCGAAGTCAGGGACTGACACCCGCCGAGGTCAGACGCTGACACCCACCAAGGTCAAACACTGACACCGCCGAGATCGGATGCTGACACCCACCGGGGTCAAGCACTGACACCCGCCCAGGTCAGGCACTGACATCCGCCGAGGTCAGATACTGACACCCGCCCAGGTCAGACGCTGGCACCCGCCCAGGTCAGATACTGACGCCCCAGAGGTCAGACGCTGGCGCCCGCCGGGGTCAGACACTGACACCCGCCGAGGTCAGGCACTGACAGCCGCCGAGGCCGGGCACTGACACCCGCCCAGGTCAGACACTGACACCGCCGAGGTCGGGCACTGACCCCGCCTAGGTCAGATACTGAGGCCCCCAGAGGTCAGACGCTGACACCCTCCGAGGTCAGGCACTGACACCCGCCGAGGTCAGGCGCTGACACCCGCCGAAGTCAGGGACTGACACCTGCCGAGGTCAGACACTGACACCCACCGAGGTCAGGCCCTGACTCCAGTTCACGACTGCCATCAGACGCTGACACCAACCCAGATTTTAGCGAAAGTTTCGAGGAGGGACGAAAGTCATGCTTCGGGTTTGTTGCAAGCGTAACTGAAAAATTATGTCGTGTTGTTTCCAGCATCAAGTTAAAGTTCTTGGAAACACTGACCATTGCAAAACAACTTTTCATCGTATGAAGTTTTACCTTCCGAGCCCTGGGCGAAAAGGTCGTAACGTTCAGATACTCGGCGAATGCATCCTTTACACTATGCATGCTGTTCTAACCGAAATATCCAGTTCTGTTTCCAATCCACCAGGTGCTTCGTCTTTTCAAGGCTCACGCGTCCATGCATGGACTTAGCTAATTTGCCCCCCCCCCCCCCCCGCCGGCGCTGGAGTGGCGCGGGACACCCGGTGCTCAGATAGTGCACAGCTCGTCGCCCAGAAGTTCGACGCTCTTTAACGTGGCCTTCCGGGTGACGTCGACGAACGTGATGAGGAAGAAGAGCGTGTCGGTGCTGCCTTGCTCGTGGTGGCCGTCCCACGGATTGTTGCTGATGACGTACGTCTGGTTGTCGGAAGTCGTCGTCACGGACGCCCACGTCTCCAAGTTGGCCAGAGGCTCGTCGAACTTGAGCGTCGCCTGGAACGATTCCACCGTCTTGGGGAACGTCAGGTGCACGTCCATGCTGAAGCCCAGGTCCCAGTGTTCGATGATCACCTCTGTGCAGCTGCGGATGCAGTCCGGGTCGCTGGGTCCGCCGCACTGTTTGGCGCCTCCGACGGCGGCGAGCAGCGCCAGCAGCGACAGGCAGCGGAGCATGGCGGACGGTGGCGCGGGACAGGGGTGTGGGGCGGCGCCCCCCCCATCACCCGCTTATGTACGCGGCTGGCGCTGGGAGCGGCGGCGGCGGCCGTTCCACGCGACGCGCCGCGACTGCCTGAGACGGCGCCGGCTGGCGCGTCTGGCTGTGGACACATGGCAGCGGACACACAGATAGTGGACACGTTTGGAAATGAATCGCATTGAGTCCCAGTTGCAAGCTCTGCGTGATCACACGCGAGGCCGCGAGCCGCATGAGGTTTAGTTGCACTGTACTTTGGTACGATGTTTTTACTTAAGGTTGTAACATGAGCAGCCCGACCCGCGCCAGTCGCCACGCTGTGTAGAAAATGATGTATCTGGAGCCATCTGTGACAGGTGCATTCAGTTTCCAGGGACAAAGAGCCCCAATCTTGACAGCTGTTTTCTGTGAATGGTTGATGCTTGGATGCGCACTGTCTGGGCGGGCAGCTTTTTTGCAACCTTGCAGTATCACTACGTTTTCATCGCCGCCGTTACACTGACCTAGAAAAGACCAAATTTTTTAATTGCGCGTGGAAGTCGTCCAAACGTCCAAAAAGTGTAGACTGTTTCGCGCTCTCGCACGGGTGCCGTGAATCCACCCGTTCTAGGATTTTTTAAGGGATTTGTTTCAGAGCGCAGCGATAAGAACAAGGAAAAACATGAAACCAGCCTCGCAGCGTAGGCAGACAAGGGGTTGCAGCTCACCAGCATCTCAAAACTGTCAGGTCCGTGGGGTGGGCAATCATTGACCGGAAAGTGGTCAATGCTACCTTTTCCGAAACAGAGCTGGAATACGAGACGCTGTGGTCAGAACATTGAGAGATTTGGTGGTGCAAACTTAACCGACGTACAGCCTTGTTTGTTATAAACAATAGCCGCCCAACATATTCGCGTTGTATTTTTGCAATACGTTTGCCACATTGGCAATTGCTGCAATCATGGCATGGCTTCAGTGAGGAAATTGAGAGATGGCAAAAACCGAATTACAACGGATTGATGAAATGGCGTCGATCATGAAAATTGCAATGACTGATAGACTTAACAATGGATTAACGAAGGCTGTTGGTGTCGGTTATCAAAGGCGTCACCGTCTCGGCTTCGGCGCCATCTATCCATAACAGCTGACGCCTTTCTCATGTGCCATGGTCTCGCTCGTCCCACGCCGCACCTTTCTGGTCGGTCTCATGACGTGGTGGTGAATCACGGCACTAATTGGGCTCCGGCCAGATGGTGAGGAGTCGCGGTGTGACGTCAGATCTGACGTCACGGTCTGCGGTGTTTGTGCCGGTGCTGTGACGGCGTATACTTGGGCGTGTTACGGCGCTTACCACGGGGTTCTCGGACCGGCCGTCCACTTTGTGTTCTGGGCGTCGGTGTTGTATTTGTACATGGCGTGGGTTCAAACCCAGGGTTAGCATCTGGTGCCTTTTCATCGACGGCTAGAGGGGCACGGAAGTTTCGTTTCCTGTGCCTTCGCACACTTTCGGCACCGAACGTCACCATTTGCTCATACCATCATCGCCCATACGCATGGAAGTAAAGCCATTGAAGCTGGCTCTGTGCCAACTCAGCTTCTAACGTGTCTTCAAGCGGCACACTTCGCTCGCCGCTGTCTCGCGATGACGTCACTAGTTCTAGTGGTCGGCTGGTGAGCTCTGGGAGTGCTTCACAGTTAACTTTACTGTTGAAACGGTGTATTTGGATTACTGTGCATTCTGTGCAGTGAGCAGCCTCCCGTCATGCTCTTTTCTCAGACGGTTAAGAGTGTTTTCGGCAGACGTTTCTTTGATCAATAGAGAAACTCGGTCAAAAACTCTGGTATCGCCTCTCGATCGCAGCGTTTTACACACATGTGGCGCATTTGCACCAATTTATGCCACATCAATGTGTTCGTCTCCTTGTATGGTTTATTTACACTCCTGTTCATTTAAACACGCGTACTGAGCTCCACGTTTCCCCCGCGAAGAGCATCGCTGGCGGACCGTGCCCAGCGCGGCCATCGAGTTTTATCTAATATGCAGCGGTATCCGGGTCCAGTGTGCATCAGCCGTAAGTCTGCTTCCACATTCGCTGCGATACAGCGTGCTGCTCCTTCGGCCCACCGTCCGCCTGCCGCGAGCGCCGCTGTCCGGCGAACGCTCGCGGCGCCGTGCTCGCCCGCTCCGAGCGTCGCCGCCGCCGCCGCTGCCGCTGCCGCTGCCGCTGCCGCTGCCGCTGCCGCCGCCGCCGCCGTCGCCGCCGGATCACGGCATCACGCACTGCTCCTGGCCGTTCAGTTTGATGCTCTGCACCTGCGGCTCGTTCTTGCCCTCATAGTGGGCGTTGAAGCTGATCGTGAGCGTGTAGTTGGCGTTGTGGTGGCCGTCCCACGGGTTGTTGGACAGTGTGAACGTCATCTGGTCGGTACTCGTGCTGGGGCACGCCCAGGTCTGGAAGCTCTGCAGCGGGTGGTCGAACGCGACGTCCGCCTCCCACGTGTCGGCGGTGGTGGCAAAGTGCAGGTGCAAGTCGCCAGAGAAGCCCTGGTCCCAGTCGTTGACGCGCGAGAAGGCGCAGCTGCGCACGCAGAGCGGGTCGGCGGCAGTGCCGCACGTGTCGGCCGCGGCGCGGGCCGACGCCGCCGCCAGCAGGAGAACGGCGTACGCACGAACGGCACGCATGGCGCTCCACTGGCGCGCTGCGCTGTCCGCCGCCTTTTTGAAGACTGCGGCACGCACGCGCGTGAGAGGCGGCAGGTGGGGTGTGAGGCCGGCTCGGGACGGCCGCCAGATAGCGGCCGGTGGAGGTCACGGCGCGCCGCCGCAGGCCATCACCCGCTGACGCACGGGCGTGTCGGCCGAGCGCTGTGGCCACATCCGGTGGCGAGGTCCGTTTAAGTCCACGAAGGGCGTTTAAAAAGCTTCCCATCAATGCGTAACTCCGACCTTCCACTCCCGTTTGCCGGCTAGTCAACTACCGTGCTGTTGATTGGCCCGGACACTGGAAGGACGACTATCGACCAGTTTTGCGCGTTTTATCTTCATGGTTTAGATTCCATGATCTCCCCGGTATTCAGTCACTTGCGGAGATATTGTGCCGTATGGTTCTCTTTTCGCTGCTCGTAAAGTTACGGAGCCGGATGGAGGCATCGTTATCAGCTGGCCACGCGTTGCCCGCCAGTGTCTTGACCTCCCAGATTTGCTCCATGGTCGTCATTGGCCGTGATGTGTGCATCTGTGTTCTCCAACCGCTGGAACCATGATACGGACGCCGCAGACACCGATCTGCCCTGGTACCATCAGCCCCGTCTCCTAACCGCTGGCGCGTGTGATGATCTGACCTCAACATGTCTCCCAGCCACTCACCCGCGATATGCCCTGAGCTCAGACACGTCTTCCAGCCACTCACACGTATGATGACCTCAGCCACTTTTGTGTGATGACCTGACCTTAGATCTCTCTTAGGTTAGACGCATGTCCCAACCGCTCGCCCGTGTGATGAATGACCTCAGACGCGTCTCAGCCACTCTTTCGTGTGATGACCTGACCACATACATCTCCCAGCCACTCACCCGCGACATGACCTGAGCTCAGACACGTATCCCAGCAACTCATACGTGTGGTGATCTCAGACGCGTCTCCCAGCCACTCTTCCGTGTGATGACCTGACCTTGGCGCGTCTCTCAACCGCTCGCGTGTGTGATGACCTGACCTCAGACACGTCTCTCAGCCACTCACCCGTGCGATGACCTCAGACGCGTCTCCCAGCCACCCACCCGTGTAATGGCCTGACCTTAGACACGTCTTCAAGCCACTCGCCGGTGTGATGACTTGACCTCGGACACGTCTCTTAGTCACTGACCGGCGCAGTGTCCTGACCTGCGCTGCTTCCTCCCAGGCACGTCTCCCAGCCGGTGATCAACGCGCTGGCCAACATCGCGGCCCAGCTGCAGGGTGAGGCTGAGCTGCACGACCTGCTGGTCAGACTCCTGGAGTTGTTCGTCCAGCTGGGCCTGGAGGCCAAGCGCGTCTCTGAGAAGGCCATGGGCTCGCAGAAGGTCAGTCGGCGACGTCCTGGGCGGAGAGCGGGGAACCCCGACCGGGGAGCGAGGCAGTCGGGGCGGGGAGCGGGGACACCCCGGCCGGGGGGCGGGACACCCAGGGCGGGGAGCGGGGACGCCTCAGCCGGGGAGCGGGGACGCCCTGGCCGAGGAGCGAGACACTCGGGGCGGGGAGCGGGGACGCCCCGGCCGGAGAGCAAGACACCCGGGGCGGGGAGCGGGGATGCCCCAGCTGGGGGGCGGGGACGCCCCGGCCGGGGAGCGGAGACGCCCTGGCTGAGGAGCGAGACACCCGGTTAACGCTGGAGCGGTGGCTCGGTGCGTCGCCTGCTGGAAGCGAGTCGCAGAAGGCGATCGAGTCGCAGCGGCTAATAGAACTGGACGCCGACACTGTGACGCTTCGAGGCGGTGGAGGCATACACTACGCACGCGCTGAAAGAATGACGGCATTGTGATCGTCCAGTGTGTGTTAAGGTATCCTCTGAGTCATGCCGTTAATTTGTGGTTCGTGTGACCCATAAATCGTGCTGTCATCATGAACGTCCTTTCCGTGGTAAGTCGAAAGCAATGATCACAGGCTATAATACAAGAAGGGTTGACCTCATGCCAACACAACTTTAGCACATGGCGCGCGGAATTCAGTATCGTACGTAACAGTTGGATACAATTTACACTGTAAGGCCTGCCTCAGTCACAGCATATTATCATGCATCTGTGCGCAGAAATGTCGTTTTCAATGTCTTTCGGCTGCCTCGGAGGACTGGGAACAGTGCCATGTGCGGATTGCCTCAGTAATGGACGTCATTGGTGTTACAGACCCCATCCCTAGCAAGAAATTTCAAAGTGAGTTGTTCTGTTTGACCTATCATCTAACTGTTCGTGTTTCTGTCCTTTGTTTCTTTCGCCTTCACCTATACTGTATGTACCCATGCTCATGCACTGGCGCAACACGTCCAGTTCGCATCGATAACTATGCTCACTTTGTTCTTTCCACGCTAACCGAAAGAGTAGAACGATGGGACTGCTACCCACCCTGACTGCTACAAATGGTCCTTGCACGGCTGCACTAGTATAATATATGCTCAATAACCTCGCTTCGTCGTAGATATGCTCAATAACCTTGCCTCGCAAATCGCACAGATACGAAGCCGTATTTCCAATAGGTGTCTGTTCGCCACGGATCACGGTAGCTGCCGAATTGTCACCACGCCTTGTATAGCTAGATATCACCATCACGCCGCGCGGTCTGTACTGTCCCCTGCCCGGTGGAAGCCACCATGGCGTCTCTCCGCGACCGCCGGCGGTATTCCTGGGGGAACACTGATGTCCCGCCGGCCCGTGCGCCGCCGATGGACCTGTGTCCTGCTCCGGGCCGGAGGCGGTGTCAGCTGGTGCCCGCCGGTCCGTGCGCCGCCGATGGACCTGTGTCCTGCTCCGGGCCGGAGGCGGTGTCAACTGATGTCCCGCCGGTCCGTGCGCCGCCGGTGGACCTGTGTCCTGCTCCGGGCCGGAGGCGGTGTCAGCTGGTGTCCCGCCGGCCCGTGCGCCGCCGGTGGACCTGTGTCCTGCTCCGGGCCGGAGGCGGTGTCAGCTGGTGCCCGCCGGCCCTTGCGCCGCCGGTGGACCTGTGCCTTGTTCCGGGCCGAAGGCGGTGTCAGCTGGACCAGACTCTAACTCCTCCGGAGTTAGTCAGAGGGTAGCGGCGCGGAGTCTAAACATTCGGAAACCGTGGGAGGGCTCACTGCTTGCAATACATCAGCCATAATAGTGGCCAGATCGCGGGAAGGGTCGTATTTGCCGCCTTTGGTCCTAACTTATGCTCAAAGACGTGTTCAGCCGCCGCCGCGCTCAGTGCGCCGGTCCGAAGGCCGGACGTCGGGACTAGCGGGCAGGTGTGCCGTTCCCACCGTCAGTCAACGTCAGGCTCCCCTCTTATCTCGCCGGCTTTGTATCGTGCTTTCTGCCGGATCTAAGAGAACGTCACGTATTACCGTCGGGCGCGTCTCTGGCAGCCAACATACGTTTGAACGCTGATGCGTTTCAGGTGCCTAAAAATGCTGCGTTTGAATAGAGCAGTGACTAACCAACCTAAAGAATGTGTATTTCATCCCAGGAAGCAACGTGACGCCAGCTGAAAATCGCGCGGAATATTCTTTCAGTATTTTCAGCTCATCTCAGTATATTTGCTCAGGTTCAGACCCTGACACCGGCACACCAGCGCTGTTTCATATATGGACGATGCATGCCGGTGTAAGACGAATGGCATATGATATTAAATAGAAAACACCGTTTTTCACCTGTTGGCCGTCTGTCTTGCGGGGCCGGTGTCAGTTTACTCCCGATGACATCAAATGAAAGGAATGTGCTCTGCGGCTTGTGGTATCTCTGAGTGCAACGCATTTGCATGCACATTTATTTGCATGTGTAATGGTAACATAGTTTTTTTTTTGTTTTGAACTAAAAATGTGGTGAAAAGCATGGGTTGCAGAGCAGCATCCATTAAGGTGAAATAACACGACGTAGGGCGCATTCATGTTGCTACGGCTCAAGGGCAATCCAGCGATGTGTCCCTGCAGCCATACAACGCATTAGCTGACAAATGAGCGGCAATTTTTATATTGGTATTCGTGTACCAGCTGTGCCCAACTCCAAAACCCTGCGCTGCGCTGGCCGGCGCGTGATATGACCATCGGCAGCGGCTGGGTGTACCCGCCTATTTACCGGACATACCCGCCTAGTGGCCGGACATACCCGCCTATTGACCGGACACGCCCGCGTAGTGGCCGGACACCCGCCTATTGACCGGACGTACCCGCCTAGTGGCCGGACATACCCGCCTAGTGGCCGGTCATACCCGCCTATTGACTGGACACGCTCGCGTAGTGGCCGGACACCCGCCTATTGACCGGACGTACCCGCCTAGTGGCCGGACATACCCACCTATTGACCGGACATACCTGCCTATTGACCCGACATACCCGTCTAGTGGCTGTACGTACCCGCCTAGTGGCTGGACATACCCGCCTATTGACCGGACATACCCACCTAGTGGCCGTACGTACCCGCCTAGTGGCCGTACGTACCCGCCTAGTGGCTGGACATACCCGCCTATCGACCGGACATATCCGCCTAGTGGCTGGACATTTCCGCCTATTGACCGGACATACCCGCCTAGTGGCCGGACATACCCGTCTAGTGGCCGGGCACACCCACCTTGTGGCCGGGAATACCCGCCCGGTGGCTGAACATACCGGCCTAGTGGCCGGACATACCTAGTGGTCGGACATATCCGCCAAGTGGCCGGACATACCCGCCTATTGACCGGACATACCCGCCTAGTGACCGGGCACACCCGCCTGGCGGCTGGGAATACCCCCCTGGTGGCCGGACATACCCACCTAGTGGCTGCTGTCTGGTCCAGTGCAGTGGGAACGGCCTCATATATGGGCTGGAACGAGTGCAGCTCTCACTTCATGTTAACATGCGATGTCGAGGTTTAATGCGGGACGTTACCATAGCCATGGGACCATTTTCCTGCTCCCCCCCCCCTCCCCTCCCCCCAGTGCATAGCCAACGCCGTCCTGACCTTGAGACCGAGTCTTGTCTTGCCTGGTGTGGCCTGCTTCCCTGTGATCGGTGCCGTACTCGTCTGCCCACGTCGCCTCTTCTTGGCGTACCATCCCCTGGTCCGCCGCGTTCAGATCCGCCGCCCCCTGGTCTGCCGCGGTCTGTCTCGATCAGATCCGCTGTCCCCCGGTGTGCCGCGGTCTGTCTCGATCAGATCCGCTGTCCCCCGGTCTGCCGCGGTCTGTCTCGGTCAGATCCGCCATTCCCTGGTCTGCCGCAGTCTTTGTCGGTCAGATCCGCCATTCCCTGGTCTGCCGCAGTCTTTGTCGGTCAGATCCGTCGTCTTCTGGCCTGCCGCGGTCTGCCGCGGTCTGTTTCGGTCAGATCTGCCGTTCCCTGGTCGCCCGCGGTCTGCCTCAGTTAGATCGGTCGTTCCGTGGCCTGCCGCGGTCTGTTTCGGTCAGATCCGTCGTTCTCTGGTCTGCCGCGGTCTGCCGCGGTCAGATCCGCCGTTCCCTGGTCTGCCGCGGTATACCGTGACCTGACGTGTCCGCCGCGGCCGCTCGCAGGCGTCCAGCTCGGCCGGCAACCTGGGCGTGCTGATCCCGGTGCTCGCCACGCTGGTGCGCCGCCTGCCGCCCATCCGCAGCCCGCGGCCGCGCTTGCACAAGCTCTTCCGCGACTTCTGGCTCTACTCGGTCGTCATGGGCTTCACCGTACAGGACTCGGGTGAGGCGTGGGGCCGGCAGACCGGGAGGCGAGGGGCGCCACTGCCTGGACGGCTGTCCGAGGTGTCCGGGTTGTCGGGCCTAGGCCTGCCTCTCTGCATTGCTGAGCGTGCGATCTTGTGTGAAGTGCACCCACCGAAAGGCACGGGGCATGTGAAATGTCACCACACCAAAGGTCACCAGTAATTTGACCTGAGATGTCTTGCAGGCATCTGGCCGGTGGATTGGTACGAGATCGGACGTCATTGCCAGCTTGACATGTGACCTGTGGCAGGCATCTGGCCGGTGCAGCGGTACGAGGACGTCAAGGAGAGTGGTGCGAGGTCAGATGTCATTGCCAGCTTGACATGTGACCTGTGGCAGGCATCTGGCCGGTGGAGTGGTACGAGGGTGTCAAGGAGATGGCTATCAAGTCGCCGCTGCTCATCAGCTCCCAGACGTCGTTGGCCTCCGAGATGCGCGAGCTGCAGCACACCTCCGCGCTGCGTAACGACGCCGTCTCGCTGGTGCGGCCCCCGGCAGCCCATCCGGACACCTGCCTGCTAGCCGCCAGAGGCTTCAGTTGACTCGGAACTGTATAGTATCCGCGCTATACGAGGGGGGAGGGGGGACATACGTGTACAGCGGTGGATGTCGGTGACTTGCTGTTCGTGCCGAGCTGCGCGGGGAAGGGCAGCTTGCCAGTCTGGCATGTTACCAATCAGCATTAATGCTCCATACGCCCGCCCAAGCGACAGCTGTAGGAAACTGTGTTCTTTGCGGCTGTAAAATGATCTGCATAAAACCTGTGATTATTATCATCATCATCGGTTGTGCGGTTTCGACACCTCTCGCGGCCTGTGCGACCCAGACGGAGCTGCAGGAGCTGAAGATGCAGATCCTCAACTACCTGGAGCACCCGGCCGATGTGACGGCCGTCATACACAAGCTCTCGTTCGCCCAGTGTACCTACCTGCTGTCCGTCTACAAGCTGGAGATGCTCAGGTAGGCGGACGAGCGGGCTGCGGCGCGTCTTGTCCGTCAGACACGGCAGTCCAGCCTACTGGGAACAGAGGGACGCTGGACTGGTGGGCGGAGCGAGCGGGCTGCGGCGCGTCCTGCCCGTCAGACACGGCAGTCCAGCCTGCTGGCAACAGAGGGACACTGGGCTGGTGGGCGGAGCGAGCGGGCTGCGGCGCGTCCTGTCCCGCCAGACACGGCTGTCTGCTGTTTGTTGCTAGCATGCTGGCAATAAACGGATCCGAGGATGACTGCAAAATAGCCCTCGAACATGTCCGTTGGCCATTCGTGTGTTGTCGACGGCTGGGTGGCCTGTGTTTTACTCAGCACTCAGCGTGTGATGCTGTCTCTCCAACAGGGTGCAGAACCAGGAGGACACGAGCTTCCACGCCATGTTTGAGTACCTGAACGACCCGGCCATCCAGAGGGACAAATACAACATGTGGCAGTGTATGAACAGGTACGTGGCGCTGCAACGCAATGCCGATGTGGCTGTCCGTAGTTATGAAATCTACTGCCTTACGGCCATTTGCGCTCGGTCACTTATGGAATGCGTGGTTGTGAGGAGTTTCCATATAAATCGGTTCTGGCGTATTTTAGCCAAGCGATGAGTTCTTCGCTCATGTAAGAAGACATTGTGCCTTATTGGTCCCAGCGACTTGGGTCCCAGCGACTTGGTACCTTTCTCGGTATCGATATTTGTTTTGTTAGGTATGGAACACAGCGTAAAAATTCCTTCACTGTGCTGGTTTGAGATGCTGCAGGCACGGTGCCGGACGCGTGCTAATTGCTTGAAGACCAGTAGGCTCAGGGAAGCCCTGTTTGCTTAAGTTAATGTAGTTGTATTGGCACACCTCTTTTATGAAAATAAACTAATTGAGAACGATTCCGAGGATGATCCTGCATTCGAGACGCTCCGAGCAACCTCTGTGCGTGCTAGAAAGCCCACCCCATACATCCTTGAGAAAAAGGGTGTTTTTAAATGCACTGACGGAATATTGTGCTGAAAGACGTTTGCGTGAGCGTCCGGCGTGTCCTCCTCCCTAGCAACCCCCCTTGACTTTCCCGTTGATGCTGTGCTGCCCGGGCTCCTGCAGCGTCGGCGAGCGGGTCTTCTCCAGCTTCCTGGACGTGATGAACGACAAGCCGAAGAACTGCGCGCGTGAGCAGGAGCTGGCGCGGCACGCCCAGTTCCTGCTGGTCCACTTCAACAGCCCACACAAACAGATCCGCCGTGTGGCCGACAAGTTCCTCTCCCAGATGGTGGACAGGTCAGTGGCGACTGGAGGCCGGCAGGATACCCAGGCGTCGTCACCGGCTCGTGTCGTATGTACATTATCTCAGGAACATCTTGATAGCAGGGCATCGCATCCTATGTCACGAATGCTCCCGTCTTGTTTGTAGCATCGCAGGTGTGCGGTCAGACTGGGATTACTGCGTGAATTTGTGGCCAACAACGTGGCTTCAATCCCTCGACGTCTGTCACCAGCTGGGCTATCGTGTCGCTGCGTGGTTTTATGCCCGTAAGACTTGACCGGGCCGTTAAGACTTCCCATGCCGGTATATCACTATTCCTGATCAGTTCTCGCCGTCATCCTGTCCATGCAGGCTGGCCTGTGCATGTGTTTCCCTTCTCTGTTATCCCAACCACCGCTAGCGGCGACTGCGGCTTTGCGCCCCGCCGTCCGCCGTCCCAGCAGTGCCGCCTCACTCTCCCCACCCCACCGTCCGCCGTCCCAGCAGTGCCGCCTCACCCGCTCCCCACCCCGCCGTCCGCCGCCCCAGCAGTGCCGCCTCACCCGCTCCCCACCCCGCCGTCCGCCGCCCCAGCAGTGCCGCCTCACCCGCTCCCCGCCCCGCCGTCCGTCACCCCAGCAGTGCCGCCTCACTCGCTCCCCATCCCGCCGTCCGCCGCCCCAGCAGTGCCGCCTCACTCGCTCCCCGCCCCGCCGTCCGTCACCCTAGCAGAACCGCCCCACCCGCTCCCCGCCTCGCCGTCCGCCACCCCAGCAGTGCCGCCTCACTCGCTCCCCTCCCCGCCTTTCGTCGCCCCAGCAGTGCCGCCTCACTCACTCCCCGCCCCGCCGTCCGTCACCCTAGCAGAACCGCCCCACCCGCTCCCCGTCCCGCCGTCCGCCGCCTCAGCAGTGTCGCCTCACTCGCTCCCCGCCTCGCCGTCCGCCACCCCAGCAGTGCCGCCTCACTCACTCCCCGCCCCGCCGTCCGTCACCCTAGCAGAACCGCCCCACCCGCTCCCCGTCCCGCCGTCCGCCGCCCCAGCAGTGTCGCCTCACTCGCTCCCCTCCCCGCCGTTCGTCGCCCCAGCAGTGCCGCGTCACACGTCCCCCGCCCCGGTCTCTGCTAGGTTCCCGCACATCCTCTGGAACGCGACCGTGCTCACCACCATGCTGGACATCCTGCAAGTGCTGAGCGAGTCGCTGCAGCAGAATCCGAACGAGGCGTCGCCGGACCTGCGCGTGCCCGGCGCCCCCTACCGCCTGGTGCTGCAGGAGACGCGCGAGGCGCGAGAGGTGCGCCGGACTGCAGCCGATAACGTCAGATGGCGTGGCGGCGGCCAGCGGCAGATTTAAGATTTGGCTTGCGCGCGTGGCTGGTGTCGGAGTGCCGTTTTATTGGTTGGTCTTTAATTGTATAATTGCTGGCCTATTTGTACACGTGTTAACCTATGCGGCTCCTTGTGAGAAGTCCAACGTTTAAAGATGTGATGCTCTCCTTGGCTTCAATCATTCGTTTCCCGCGTTCCACTCACCTCAGTCTGCTGCAGCTAGTTATGGGTCCTGCTCTAGTCCAAGCCGTCACTCGTGCGACCGTGACCGAGCCCCGCCCGACCGCCGGCAGACGACGGTGAAGGACTTCGCCGCGCGCTGCCAGGGCATCATCGAGGAGGCCATGAAGTGGGCGCCTGCTACGACCCGCTCGCACCTGGTCGAGTACCTGCGGCGGCCAGCCGGCGGCCACCACGCCGGCCTAGCGTTGGCGCTCGAGTCGGGTCTGCAGTTCGCCGGCCTCTGCCCGCAGGCCGCCCCGCTCGCCGTACGTGTCGCGCCGCGTGCTCGCTGGGTGGAGAGGGCGCAGCGAGCAGTGGCGCCGCGTGTCGCGCCACGTGCTCGCTGCATGGGAGGGCGCAGCGGGCGGTGGCGCCGCGTGCTCGCTACGCGGGAGGGCGCAGCGAGCAGTGGTACCGCGTCGTGCGGCGCCGGCCTTTCTACAATGCGTTGTGCGATATCCACATTTGGGCTAAGTCACGCCAGCTGCGCGCGTTTGAGTCGGCATGCCTTGAAAATTTACCTTATAATAATGCATCAGCGAAATCTGGATATATTTGCGATCGGCTAATACGTCGGGCACTGGACCAGCCAGGCATATAAAGCCGTTAAGCCGTTAAGGTGTTATTTGCTGTGCTGCGCGCGCGGCGCGGGCTGCTCCGAATTACACAATTTTCCAGTTCGAACGCCCGTGGATGATGTGTTGGGATGCCCCGGCGTCACGTGCCGGGACGTGCGTGCACCACTCTGTATTTGTCCTGCCGTGCCCGGTCAGCGCGGGGCGTTTCCGCCCTCTCCCGGTTAGGCCGTGCTGGAGCGGCTCTGACGCCGCGCCACCCGCCCCGGCAGGCGGCCACGCTGGCCAAGCTGCCCGACTGCGTGAAGAACAACAGCTCGGAGCTGGTGGCGGCCGTGGCGCTGCGCTGCAGCTACGCCGGCGAGGTGCGCGGCCTGCAGGCGGCCGGCTCGGCCCGCCAGCTGGCCGCCCAGCTGAGGGACAGCTGGCAGCGGCGCGACGATGCGCAGCATGCGCGCGCCCTGCTGCGCGTCACAGCGCTGCTCATCGACACGCCCGGTAGGGGAGAAGGACAGACGGCGGACGGCACGGGCCCGGGCGCGGGCGCGGGCGCGGGCGCGGGCGCGGGCGCGGGCGCGGGCGCGGGCGCGGACGCGGACGCGGACGCGGACGCGGGGACGAGGACGACTGGCGTGTGGCTGTTGGGTGGGTGGTTGTGCTGTGTGTCATAACTTTGTCATAATTCCACTAGCAAAAAGATTATGTCACGCCTCCAGGCGTCGGCCTTCCACCCGGCTAAGATAACTAAAAAGAGTCGCCATCGGCACTCGGTGTACATCATAGTGGCTTCACTACGCTCGGTGCGTTACAAGAGTAAAATCCATATTCCGGTCTGTCTCATCCCTCTTCACACCGGAGCCGGAAGGGCTGAACCCACGTCAGCCCGGTGCCCTGTTGTCACCTGAGCCATCACCTGAGCCGTCGCCTGAGCCATTACCTGAGCCGTCACCTGAGTCATTACCTGAGCCACCACCTGAGCCGTCACCTGAGCCGTCACCTGAGCCGTCACATGAGCCGTCACCTGAGCCACCACCTGAGCCATCACATGAACCGTCACCTGAGCCACCACCTGAGCCATCACATGAACCGTCACCTGAGCCACCACCTGAGCCGTCACCTGAGCCATCACCTGAGTCGTCACCCGAGCCATCACCCGAGTCATCACCTGAGCCATCACCTGAGTCGTCACCGCCGCCGGCAGGTCTGGACCGCGAGCTGCTGCACCTGGTGGCCTGGTCACCGGCGTTCGTGTTCACCGAGTCATCGATGCGCGCCGGCATTCAGTGCTGGGAATGGGTGCTGTCGGCGCGCGTCGACCTGGAGATCAGCTTCCTCAGAGAGATGTGTGCCGCATGGCAGGTCAGAAGGAAGAGGGAACGGGTGTTTATTGGTTGGTTTGTTGAAATCGAGCCTCTCCCCAAGCCTTCACGTCTTCCGTCTGTTGGCTCGCTAGAATACGCCATAAGTGTGACGTACGTGAGTGAATATACTGAAGCAGAAATGCGACTATCGGCTCATACTTATAATTATTCTCAGCTCCACTTTCACCCTTGGTGTCAGTGTTCCACATTACGTGACTGTGTTGTCCATGAGAAGACGCTTTTTGTTGGGCTCATTCTACATTCTCACATACATGCTTCCTATGCGTGTTTGCGGTCCAGTCGAATGAAAACACAAGCCTGTCGCAAAAAGGACGCAAAGGCATTTGTGCGCTCAAGTGTCTTCTCCTTGGTTCCATTGAACCCCAAATGAGCACCACTCCCGAGTTTCAGCGCCTCACAGCGTGCTGAGTCCGTGTGTTTCAGTACACGATAGACAAGCGTCTGGGCCTGTTCAGTGAGCAGGAGCCGGAGGTGAACCCGCTGGCCGTGTACGAAGGCTGCTCCATCGAGGCCCGGCCGCCCTATGTGGTGCCCCACCACCTCTGGGTCCAGGTCAGTCATACGCCCCTGCTGTTTAGTCCAGGTCAGTCATTCATCCCTGCTGCTGGGTCTAGGTCTGTCATACACCCCTACCGCTGTGTCCGGGTCAGTCATACACCCCTACTGCTGGGCCCGGGTCAGTTATACATCCCTACCACTAGGTCCGGGTCAGTCATACACCCCTGCCTCTGGGTCCAGCTCAGGCGCCGCCTGCACGGTGTCAGTGGCTCCATGACTCGTGGGTCTTGGTGTGAGTTCGCCACCTCCTATTATCGGCCATCGATGTCGTCTGAATCCACGTCGGTGTCTTCCCCGCTGCCAGTGATTCAATGCGTTATGGGTCCATGACATTGTCCTCCGAAATGTTAGTCGTCCCATGTCCTCCTGCTTCATGTCAGTGGCCGCCCCGGTGTCAGCGTCCCCGTTGCCTGAGTTATATCAGTGCCTGCCCCGGTGTCAGCGTCCTCATGACCTGAGTCATGTCATTGTCCGCCCCGTTGGCATCGTCCTCACGACCTGAGTTATGTCAGTGTCTTCCCCGGTGTCAGCGTCCTCATGACCTGAGTCATGTCAGTGTCTGCCTCATTGTCAGCGTCCTCATGACCTGAGTCATGTCAGTATCTGCCCCGTTGTCAGCGTCCTCATGACCTGAGCCATGTCAGTGTCTTCCCCGGTGTCAGCATCCCCATGACTTGAGTTATGTCAGTATCTTCCCCGGTGTCAGCGTCCTCATGACCTGAGTCATGTCATTGTATTCCCCTGTGTTAGCGTCCCCATGATCTGAGTCCTGTCGGTGTCTTCCCCGGTGTCAGCGTCCGTGTGAGCTGAGTCCGTAACAGCACACTCATCGGCGGTGATGGCGGGGTCCCTCTCCTCCAGTGGTATTGACCCCGTGTCAGCCTCCTGTTCCCATTGGTGACGCCGCGCCCAGTAATCGTGCGTGGCAGGTGGTGCGGGCCTGTCTGATGTGGTAGTCACGTGCTGTACCGGTTTGTGGCAGCGTTCTCCCGTGCTGACCATGTGTGGTGTCGGTGCGCGGTGCCGCAGTTTCTGCTGGAGCGGGTGGAGATCGCGCGCTACCGCAGCCAGGACCAGGTGGAGCTGCTCTGTAACCTGCTGCACGGCACGCTGTCGCTCTCCGTGGGCGACCAGCAGAGCTTCATCACTCGCCATGTGGCGGCCGTGGGCACGCGCGTCCGCCTGCTCACGTGCGGCCTTATCCTGCTGCAGGCCGATCTGCTGCCAAAGTCAGTGGGCGTCTGCCCGTCCGCCCGCCTCCGCCGGCGCACAGTAATGTGTAGCGCTGATAACAAACTCTTTGCCGAGGTGCAGTTGGTTTTTGATTCAAAACTGTGATTCCCATGTTCCAACGATATTCCTGAATAAGACGCCCGAAACGGTAAAAACCACAGATGCTGCGGGGATCACTTGTTTGCCGTGTATTCAGGCAGCTCTGTCGCGAACGTCACCTGCATTGTACGTTCTTCCGTGGCGCCGAGCTGTGATGCCTCAGCCGAGCCTCTGTGGTCCGCCTGTGTGGTGGCGGGGTGTGATGCCGTCCGCCGGGGTCCGCGGCCCGCGTTTGTGGTGCTGAGCTGTGGTGCCGTCCGCCGGGCCTGTGTGGTCCGCCTGTGCGGTGGCGGGGTGTGATGCCGTCCGCCGGGGTCCGCGGCCCACGTTTGTGGTGCTGAGCTGTGGTGCCGTCCGCCGGGCCTCTGTGGTCCACCTGTGTGGTGGCGGGGTGTGGTGCCGTCCGCCGGGGTCCACGGTCCGCGTTTGTGGTGCTGAGCTGTGGTGCCGTCCGCCGGGCCTCTGCGGCCCGCCTGCGTCTGACGGACGGCGCCGCGTCGCTGCTCGGCAGGACCCAGGGCAAGGGGGCGCTGCGGGAGCGGATCTATTACGCGTGCCTGGACTACTTCTGCGGCCAGCCGCGCTTCCCCTCGCCGGAGCAGTCGGCCGGCACGCTGCGCGAGGACATCACCGTGCTCATCCGCTTCTGGCAGAACATGCACTCGGACAAGAAGTACCTCAAGACCAGCATGATCGGCGGTGAGCGCGACGGCAGCGACGCTCGGCGGTGGTAGGCGGAGGAGAGAGCGCGAAACGGGCCATGTTCTGACGTGTCGTGGGCCTTGCGGGTCAAAAGACTGGCAGTTGTTTGAAAACTATTTGATATGATCCCATTGGTAAATAATGTGTAGTTTTTGCTTAGCGATTTTCAGATCGTCCTTGAAACAAGAACGTGTGGACGCTGAGTGATATACTGTTGGGGCGGAGGGAGGTTGACGGGCACGTCCACAGAGGGCAGCTGTGTTTGCGTGCCGTTTCACAGGGTCCGGTGCCGCTCCTGTTTTGTCCAAACGTAAAAAAGGCCCATGTGCCATTTTCCGGAAGCAGCTCGGAGTACTGCACCCTATGATGTAAAATCACAAAGTTGGAAACATTTGCGTTCATGTCCAAATTTACTGGTCAGCACTGAAGTGTGCTTGATTCGCCGAAGCTTAAAAATGTTCCCCTGATTGATTCACGCGATGGTGCTGAGGCCTTTTGGCGTGTGTACGGCAGTCGTGTGTTTGGTGGCGTCGGCGCCTTGGCCGGGTGACCGGACCCACCGCTGCCGGCCGGTCCTGACCCGTCGCTACGTCTTCGGCAGACTTCAGCGAGTGGAACATCATGGGCACGCGCGAGGTGGCCTCGTCGCGGCCGCCGGCCAGCGAGTTCAACCCGTCCGTGACGGGCTGGTTCAACACCGTGCCGCTGACGTCCAACAGCTCGACGCTGTCGCGCCGCTCCGCCAAGAACCGGCTCACCAACCCGGACGTCTACGTCAAGGACTACATCAAGAAGCGCAACCTCATCCTGGCGCTGCTGGTGAGTCTGCGGCGGCAGCGAAAGGACGGCGGCTGATAGGGGAATGCTGCACACTAAGACCTTCGATACTCTACTTTATAAGAGACTGGGTGTCCTGATTCGGTTCATATGTATCCCTTATTTAAAGGTTATTGCCACATGCAGACTGCAGGCAAGAGCTCCACAGGGTGTTTCGTTTGAGATATCAATTGTAAAGGGCAGCTAGAGATACTAAAGATAGTCCAAGCACGTGGTATATGGCAAGCATTGTTGAAAATTGCGGGGCATTTAGATTAGTGTTGTTCACACACTCATTGGGGTCTAGGAGCTAGGAGCTAGAGAACAGGTTTCCGTCTCCGTTCTGAACGGCGGGACATGCCATTTGCAAGACGCTGGTAGGCGCGGGTTGTTCTGAAATTAGGAGAAATACATTTGTGCTCAGGGCCTGCTGCGGAGACGTTGTGCTAGGCAGATGAGAGATGTCTATAAAAGCAAAAATGTCCAAATGTTCAAGTATCTGCAACATGATCGATTATGTTATCAACTGACATACATATCACAGCCTTTTTTAACTTGACCACCCTGTATTTCCACTACCGGTTGACAGTGTACGTGTGTTGCGTGCACGGATTGTCCTGACGGCGTCCCGGCTGCAGCGGTGTTAGCTTGTGTGCGGTCGCTGTGCGCAGCTGACTGCGGCCGCTCTGTCTGTCCACAGTCGGCGGAGATCGAGCGCGACCGCTCTGTTTGTCCACAGTCAGGGGAGACCGAGCGCCTGCCCACCTGGCTGGTGTGAGGCCGCTGTGTGCGGCTGACCGGCGGTCGCTCTGTCTGCCCACAGTCGGCGGAGATCGAGCGCCTGCTCGCCCGGCTGGTGTGAGGTCGCTGTGCGCAGCTGACCGGCGGCCGCTCTGTCTGTCCACAGTCGGCGGAGATCGAGCGCCTGCTCACCTGGCACAACCCGCAGAACCGAGCCGAGCTGCACATCGCCGGCGAGGAGCACATGGCCACGTGGCGCGCACAGCCCGTCAGCGAGAAACAGTGGCGCGACCACATCCGACTGGCCTGGGACATCAGCCCGCCGCTGGCCGTCATGCTGCCGGAGCGGTTCAAAGGTGACGCGCCGGCGCGGGCTGGGTACGGGGGCGCAGAGAGGGTCAGCCCAGGTCAATGGCAATGGTACTTTGCTTTGCACAGCGTGATGTTATGCTCAGGTCTGCCTGCAAATCGTGTTAAAAATTTAAAAAGAAAACATCCAGACCAAACCAAGCCAGATGCTGGTGGTTTCCTGCTTTTACAAGGAACAAGCCGGCTATTGATTTGGCCTCGACCTCAACCTTTTCGCCTCAAGTCCTACCTCAATTAGGGGCTGAGCAGATGTTATTTTTTTATGTTCGCCTGACACAGCGTAACCAAGAGGATCGCCTGCGTGACCAGTGTGTAACCAGGGGAAGGGAAGTTGAAAATTAATAGCGAAAAAGGGCGTAACGTGATGCACGAACGACCCGGAAACAAGGATGAAAGCCATCCTGAGAGACAAGACTCATGAGGATTACCTGCGCCGTCTCCTCCTTCAATACTCTCGAACAGCAGAGACAGTCCAGACAAAACAACAAACTCTCAGAACTAATGTACACACATTGCCTTGTAAAAAGGAGTATGAAGGAAAAGCCTAGCTGTTAAGCCTCACTGGTATTACAAGGACAGAGGACATTAACGGTGCATACACAAGGCAACCGTTTTAAGCACGCAGTTCAAACGATAATCGACAAATAAGTTTCATTGTTCTGACAAACCCAGCTGGCAGGCACACAACAGCCGCCTCTTGACATGAACTTGGGACGTCTAAGCATGAAAAGTTGCTATGGTAGCGCAAACGCTGAGAAACCAAAGTACTAGAAAGTTTTTTGTTTAAATCAGCGCATCGACTGATACCACATGGTTTGGCCTGTGTCAGAGATTTGGCTTATTCCCAGAAGACTTAGCCCTCCACCGGCGTAGGCCGGCTTAGGTAAAGGGAGCTCGCCCTCGGCGCCACCACAAGGCGCCCGGCCGGCCGGCCAAGCGGCGGTAAGCAGCACTGAGGCAGGTGCAGAACGTCATTACTGAAAAAATGCTGAGCAGAAAAAACGCACGCGACTAGTGTAGTGGGCTGAAAAGGGTCCAGACTCGTACAAGTGCTCCCGCAATAGCAGCTGCCACCGTTGTATCGCCTTTCAGTCTGAAATGTCCGCTGTCAAAACGGTGCGGGCGGCTGGCGGCCACCCGGCCGAGGGTCGCTCAATAACACACCTCCGTGCAGACTAGCTGAGAGACTGACCCAAACTGGTACAAACGTGAAATGTGCACATGGATGTACAAATCGTAGAGCTGTGCCGACCGTCTTACATCTGTCGAGGCCGACACTTCCATGTACGAGCGGCCTGGGCGGCTGGCGGCCTTCCAACCGATAATCGCCCAGGTCTTGTAACGCGCCTGCTTACAGGTCGTCAACAAAGCCACCTAGGGAGGCAGATATTTGAGAGCATTCCTTGTTCGCTACAGTGTGTGCTGCAGGTGGACTATTGCAGTGGTTTGAGGTTAGAATGTCTCATTATAAAGCCGATTTTAGCAAATGGGAGCCACCCAGCCAAGAATCACCTCCTGTCCAATAGCGCACCTGCCTGCAGATAGGCTGAATATCTGCCCAAACTGGTACAAACGTACACGCATTCAGATGTGTTCAAGTGGGAGAGACGCGCCAGTTGTCCCATTGCTTTGGGATCCGACATTCGCAACGTAACAGCGGCATTGGTCTGGCCGACTGTGGTCGCCTGGCCATCAGCCGCCAAGATGCAAGCCGAGGTGTCACCACTGCAGGCGTTGTTTTGGAGAAAATGGCACCACCCGATGCAAAGAAATGTTTCGTTTGCGCGAAGGCCGCAGCTGTGATGTTCGGAATCCGCTTCCAGCGCTGATGAGCCCCGTAGTCGGCAGACCATTCGCTGACGCTAACGACATGCTCGCGATGTTAACGGTGCATTCTTGGCTAAAAACGTTGTAAGGTCACCCGATAAATTTCATCGTCCGGTAAGATTTTGGCACGCTTGAAATATCGGGTCAACATAAGCGACTTGTCGAGAACGAATCATGCCTTTCGATGAAAATGCAAATTTCCTATGATCTTACATACACCGTTAAAATTCAAGGTCTGACCAGACACAGTCCCTCTAAGCGAAACACCAACAGGTTAGCGGCGTAGACAATCGGTTAGGAGTAGGTGGAGAGTGGTCCGTGTTCCACAAATCGTACGGCGTCGGCTTGAACTGCCTTCCTAACGAATGTTACGTCTGTATCGAATGCCTACTCCTTACCAGCGTTACATTCCATCTTAGAGCACAGCGGCAGACTGGGCAGTGGCGGCCGAAGTCGCTGAAGACGCCAGCAGAGAGGACAGCGGCAGGCTGCCGATTCCAAACAGGCGGCAGCCAAAGTCACTGAACACTCCAGCGGGAGAGGACAGCGGCAGGCTGCTGGTGCCGAACAGGCGGAAGCGGCCAGAAACGCTGAACACTCCACCGAGAGAGGACAGCGACAGACTGCCGATGCCGAACAGGCAGCAGCCAGAGTCGCTGAAGACGCCACCGAGAGGTGACAGCGGCAGGCTGCTGATGCCGAACAGGTGGAAGCGGCCAGAGTGTCGCGCGGTAGTATGTTCAACTGAAACACATTGATATTGTGGTGCATAGTTTTCTGCCCGTGGAGGCGCGCTGGCAGGCAGGCCGCCAAGACAGGGCTCGACCAAGCATGGCCAGTGACACGTCTCTGTCCGCACCTCCGACTCCGCCGGAGAAAGGGGCCCGGGAGTAAGAGAATGGCGTCTCTGCGCGCCTCGAACCAACGTTCCACCCAGTGCGTCTTTCAACAGCGCGCCACATGCGATGCCTCGCCCAGTGCGGCGCGCCGGAGAGTACGCCAGATACACGGCATCGCCGGGCGCGGCCCGACGTGTACCGCGCGGCTTACTGCAAAGCTCAAGCGCAGTTAACGCATTTAGAAGGAGTCGAGATTTTTTCAAGCAAGAGGAGAAAACGGGCATTTTATCTTCTGGCTGGTGTTTCTTGCTGAGGTGCCGGACACCCTGTGCGCGAAACGGATTCGCGGTGGTCAGCGGCACGACGCCCCCTCCCCAACGATGTGCCTACGTTACCTCTCCCAACCAGATGGCTCGGTAAAATTCAGTAGTCAAATTTTTTAGTCCAAACATCCAGTTCATTTGGCCCGTGCAGCGATATTGTATCTGGTCAGCGTAGTTGGTAGCACCCGGCGGCTTCTCGGCCAGGCCGGCAGCCTTGACGATAGTTCTCGGCCAGCCCAGCCAGCCTCCGATTGGAGTCTGGCAGCCGGGGTGTACCTCCCGATATTGGGGGAAAACGACTTCCTATGCTTTTCTTCGTGGCAAATGCCGTTTAGATGTATTTTTCAGACCATGCAACTTCAGTTCAATACAGTTTTGACGTGACGTGGACCAAACCCAGGGGTGAATCAGGAGCGACAAATAGCACTGTCCCGTGGCTCGATAAGACAGAAATGACTGAAAATCAAGGTCGGAGGGATATTCGTGTGCCCCGTTCGGAGAGGCGGGCGGACAGCCGTACTCTAGCTGCAGTAGGTGGCGTCGGCCGTATTGCTCTGGACCCAGGGTGGCCGGCGGGCGGGCGGGCAGCCGTACTCTAGCTGCAGAAGGTGGCGTCGGCCGTATTGCTCTGGACCCAGGGTGGCCGGCGGGCGGGCGGGCAGCCGTACTCTAGCTGCAGTAGGTGGCGTCGGCCGTGTTGCTGCGGATCCAGGGCAGCACCGCCGTTACCCGGGCGAACACGTCAGGCGTGCCGGCCAGGGCGCACGGCTGGCCGAAGGACACGACACCGATCAGGGCGTACTTGCTGTTCTCCAGCGTGACGAGCGGGCCGCCGCTGTCGCCCATGCAGACCGCCTTGCCGCCGGCCGGCAGACCGCCGGCGCAGATCATGGTGCTGGTGAGGATGTTCCACACGGTCCTGCACTGAGCATCGGATTTGACCGGCAGCTCGACCTCCTGCAGCTCCGTGGCCTGCGCCTGCGAGGCGCCGAGCTGGCCGAAGCCGGTGGCGATGGCGGTGGCGCCGGCGTACGTCTGGCCGGCGGTCGGCAGGCACACGGCCGCGCGCCGCCTGTTGAACGTGACCGGACTGGACAGCTTCAGCAGCGAGTAGTCGTACCCCTTGCCGGCCGTCACGTAGGACGGGTGCTGGATGATCTGGCTGAGGGTGTGACGTGACTCACCGTCGACCACGCTGATGCGGTGATCGCCCAACAGCACCTGGATCTGCGACGCCGTCTTGCCACTGGTGCAGTGGGCCGCCGTCAGCACGTACCGGTTGTTGATGAGGCTGCCGCCGCACCAGGTGCGGGTCTGGCCGGGGTCGACCAGACCCGCCTGCCACGGGTACTCATTGACCTCGGTCTGGACACCGCCAACCACCCGCGAGGCACGGTTGGCCACGCCGCAGCTGCAGCTGCCTGAGGAAGATCCACCCGATCCGGCCGCAGCCCGGATGGTGCAGGAGAACCCAGTCCCGACCTCGACGTAGTCGGAGTGGAAGTCGATGTTCAGGGCTGAGCTGCCAGAGACGGAGGGACCCTGACTTCCACAGAACTTGTTTCCGTTCACGCGCAGCCAGTCCCACTCACAGGAGCTGTGCATCTCAATGTCGAATGCAGAGCAACTGATGGATAAGGTCGCGGCACCCGATCCCGGTGTCAGCTTGTAGACACAGTCGTAGTCGTTGCCGTAGTTGGAAGGGTAGTTCGGCGACGTGATGGTGTACGTTCCCGTAGTCAGTGCGTGGGTACCGCACGCAAGAGTGGTGCGTGCGGCTCCCAGCTCGGCGTCGAAAGGCACGGGCTCCAGCGACTTGGCGTCCTCCAGGGAGACGTGCGGCTTGGCCGCGGCAACGCCCAGAACGACAATAGCTAGGAACGCCCTCATGCTGACTGCCGGCACACTGATAGCAGCACATACCGCGTGTGCATTTATATACATACGTGCACAAGACCTGGCTGTCATCGGCCGACGCTGTCTCGCGGAAGTTGGCGAGTTCTGCGCTTGCGAAATCCACAAAAGAAACAGGTCATCCGATGGAACTGATGCATCCCAGGCGCAGCTGCAGAGATGCCGGCTAGGCCCCGCGCAAGTGTTCCATTGTCCAGACCGAAAAAAAATAATGCGTCATTCATACCGTTTGAAAAGCGCACGTGCATTGGGGACGCTGATGAAAGACTTTGCTAACAGGCACACGCCGGTGGAAAGGTTAGCCTGACATGAGTCCGTCAACAGATGTAAAGCTTTTTGTGGGCAGGAAGATGCCAAGTTCGCCATGTGGGGAGACACAAATGAAATGACGCGCCAGCACTGATAATTGGTACAAAATTGAGAGGTGCCCATTTACCGTTCTAACGAGTGGTCCAACAGCTGGAAACTGACAAGGCCGTCCTTCGCAGGGCTCCCGAGAGACCCCCCCCCCCCCTTCCCACCCCTTACCCCCCACCCCCACCCCCGTCTTAGGGATATACGGTGCACTGTTGACTTCGGTCTCACATTTTGATAAAATTCAAGTCGCAAAGTTCCCCACGTTTCGGCCAACATGCCGTCTTCAGATGATATGTTTTTGTGTAAAAAACTTGAATTCATTTGAAGAGCGCGAGAGCTCTTCCAAAATGATATGAAGTTTGCGACTGCTTGCGTTGCATTCGAAGCGATTCATCATTGTACCGTATAGAATACATGTTTGTGTCCACTACGACCGTCACGTTGCCACTGGCGTTGAACTACGTGTGAAAAAAGCAATAACATTGTTTTATCCGATAATGCTATCATTGCCAATCAAGTGGCATCATTCCCTTTCAGCAATGCCACAAAGATTGTGAGAAATTGTCATATGGTAACACGCGCCGGAGGGGGGGCAGTATCAACCTTGATGTTTTAGTTCAAAATAATTTCCAACCGGCGCGGCGCAGCCTCGCCAAACACTGCGTAGTTGAAGGTAATCAAAAGGCCGATTTCGTGGTGTGACAAATTATATATATATATATATATATATATATATATATCGTGAGGTCGCTGACCTATGACGGGTCGAAGCCTGACTATGGCTGTCAGCGAAGCCAATTCAAAGATAATCGACCACTTTTACGCGACAACGTAGTGCTAGACGGGGTTTACAACTTTGAGATGGTTTCTTAAACAATTAGAGCTTTTGAGTTTAGGATGACGACATTTTGCCTACACGTGGTATGCAAATTGAGACTGGTTGCGCAAGGAGATATGTGGACGCATGGGACACCGATATATGAGGGCCTTTCAGACACTCATCTGGATTTTAACCTTGCTGTACCCTATTTGACCTTAAGTCCACGACCTGTTACTAAATACTTCGAATTTCATACGTGTGAATTCATATGTAGCCATACCTGTCCGGTGAATTTGGTGTTTCCAGCTCTCTTAATTTGATTGGATCTCGGGTAGATAAATGCCCCCCCCCCCCCCCCCCACTCCCACCCCTGCTACAGCGCGGTGTATGTAACCGGCCACCGGGGGCGTACTAAAGCGAAATTTCGGCATTCGGTATTAAGGTATTCAAGACAAGCACCACCTGGGCGGAAGTGGGCGCAGACTGGGCTCTGGTTGTTTCAGATGTAACCAACTTTACAATACGTCAAAACGAATATTATTGTGCATGCGGGCGTCGTGGAAAAAATTGACCGACTGGGTTCGGCGTAAAAACGACTAATTTCTGGATTGCCTGATAGCGCATAAACACATGTGTTTATGCGCTATTTGTCCTCTGTCGATCTTTCATTGATTTTTAAAACGTCAGTTTTTTCTGACATGAGAAAATGCGTGTGTCAGAACTCCACAAATTGCCATCTATTCTGTGGAAAATGAAATTACTTTTAGTCCCAATTATTACTCTGAAAACCAAGGAAGGGCTAGCCATGGGTTAACAGTTAAACACCTTGTACCAACGATTTTTGAATAGTTTTTGTGTATTTAAGCCACGAGAGGAACTTCTCTCAAGTTGAAGCAGTGCATTCGATGCTCTTTCCAAAAGCAGCAGAGCCTGCAGCATAATAAAGTTCTCGCTACTAGTGCCCGCTAGCCAGACGGCTGACATTGAGGCTTACTAGATGGAGATGCCTCGGTGAACATATATAACTAAGCATTTTAGAATTTGTGGGTATACAGTACATGTGTTTTACAAATAAAGGCTCTAATAATTTTTGAATGACCAAGACAAAACGAAAAAACGAGCGCACTGAAATGCATGCTGTTTTTATCAGCACATGCCATGGCTTAGGAGCATGGCTTTTTCATGATCAATATCTGTACATAAAAAGAAAGGGCTCCAAAGCTTGGCTGGCATGGGAAGCAGGAGGCGGAACGCTTAAGGCCGTGGTGAATCACCAGTCTGCCGATTTGCCTATTTCTCTTGATTTTATAAATACCTGTCAACGATACTTGATGTGTTTCATAGATTCTTTAATAATTGGGGTAATCATGCAGGATTCCTCCACAAACTGTATTTGCGTTTAATACGACGTTGTCATAAAATCCAAAACATGTTGGTAGCAATTTTTAAGAACTTAATGCTCTACCAGGTACTCGTCAACGAAAATGTGATTTGTTGATGCGGTAAGGTAAGGTAGACGGATTTTTTAGGTAAGTTAAGCATTTTTGAAGAACTTCTGGACTACTTGCCGCAGGAAAAACGGGTGATGCCAAATATGGAACACGAACTACGAGTAGTTAGGAAAATCTGAAGAGTACATGAGGCGTAATGTACTCGCGTGAGCGAGCCCATGGACGAATGTAGCGTTTTGAAAGAAAAGTTGTGAAATATCGCCGAAAATTAGGCTACATATCAAAGACTTGTACTGCGAAATGGAAAGGGTATTCAAACCGCTCGGGACACCTTTTTGCAAAGTCATGCCGCTGCCAGTTCTGCTCATTAATGCACCACCTCTTATAGACTACTCAGCACCTTCAGTACCTCCGCCGCACAAGGGGTACTGGATACACAGTGCAGCTGGACACGTAGTTGAACATTGTAGCCTAGACATCGGTGGGGAAACCTGAAGCCGCACGGCAGCCTGGGGCATGCCTTGATTGTCTCCAGACATCTCGCCATATGGCCGAAAATTGTGCACAACCGAACGAATGTAGGGCCACTTTTGGGAGTTCAGAGTTCTTACGCCGAGTTACTGACCTTCACTATACCAAGAGGTAATTGCTTAAGTGTCGTCGGACGTCGTAGAACACCATTTAAGGGAGTCTTTCGTCTTATCGCATGGTTCTTGATATGGAGCTTGTAAAGCTGGCTGTTGCTGGGGTTTGGACCGCTCCATTGCATTAGTAACACGAGAAAACGAGACAAACTGTATCCATTGCGCCGCCAGTCTAGTGTCCCGAGGTCGGCGAAGTTGGTGCCATGACATTCGGACCTGACCTCTGGCTCATCCGCTGACAGAGGAGGTGATTCGACGGGAGGTGAGCCGGCTGGTGCGCAGCCGACCGCAGGCCGTTTGCCACATCTCTGAGGCGCTGCAGTACCTCACCACGCCCGAGCACATCGTCAACGACATCATCGAGGTGAGCCGGCCGACCGAGGCCGGCAGCGCTGGCGTGCCGGGAGATTGGCGCGCTGGCGCTGGCCCACCGTTTGTCGTCAACAGGCAATATCAGTCTCTTGAAAACCTCGCTGCCGGTTGGTTAAACGGTTCAAGTTTTCGTTGCTAGTCCTCGTCTGCAGTTGTTGGATTGGACCGTCTTTACGTGCATGACTTCTCACGCCATGACGATAAGTGCGGTGACGGGATAACAAGCATGCCCGGCATATATTCACTCCAGTGGAGTATGCGCTCATGGGACGCGCCGGCGTGTCTCCAGCCCACCGAGAAGGCATCTCCGGCCGCATTGTCGCCGTGTGTTGGCTGGACTCGACGCCGGCGTGCGGTGGCTGACGGCGCCGTGCGGGGACGTGTGTTGGCTGGACTCGACGCCGGCGTGCGGTGGCTGACGGCGCCGTGCGGGGACGTGTGTTGGCTGGACTCGACGCCGGCGTGCGGTGACTGACGACGCCGTGCGGGGGCGTGTCTTGGCTGGACTCGACGCCGGCGTGCGGTGACTGACGACGCCGTGCGGGGACGTATGTGGACTGGTCTCGACGCCGGCGTGCGGTGACTGACGGCGCTGTGCGGGGACGTGTGTTGCAGCTGTCGCACGCGCTCACCTGGGCCAAGCAGCCGCCGGTGTCGGCGCTGGCCTTCTTCTCGCGCCAGTACCCGCCGCACCCGATCACGGCCCAGTACGCCGTGCGCGTGCTCAGCTCCTACCCGTCCGACACGGTGCTCTTCTACATTCCGCAGCTGGTGCAGGCCGTGCGCTACGACACGGTACGCGCGCTAGTCGTGCACGATCGGACACGTGTGTGTCGTTAGTGTGTCCACCGTCGGGCCATGCGCTACGACACGGTACGCGCGCTGGCCGTGCCCGATCGGACACGTGTGTGCCGTTAGTGTGTACACCGTCAGGCCGTGCGCTACGACACGGTACGCGCGCTGTTCGTGCTGGGCTGGACGCGTGTGTGCCGTTAGTTTGTCGACCGTCCGCTGGAGTGTCAATGCCAGTGTAGTATTCCATGTGGTTTGATCGCTGTTTTCCTTGGTTTCTGTTTGGCTGCACGATATTGGCGCATTGTGCTCATATTTTATCTATCACTTTCTTACTTTATCGGGTGCTTGGAGAAATTGGCTGTTCAAGGTGACAAATTCATCGGTCTATTACGAACGTTTCCTTAATGTATAGAGATGACAGATGAAATTCCCATCGCGATAGCTAGCTCACCCCAGCTCAAATGACCTCCACCTCCAGATGGGCTTCATCACAGAGTTCATCAAGCGCGCGTGCGCCAAGTCACAGATCCTGGCGCACCACGTGATCTGGAACATCGAGACCAACAAGTTCCGCGATGAGGAGGGCCAGGTCAAGGACGGTGAGTGTGACGCCGTGGCCGGCTGTCCCGCACTTCCTGACGACGCAGGGCGGTCCTGGCACCGCTCCTGCCGCCCACCATGGGCCGCTGTGTCTCCACAGAGCTGCGTGGAGGAGGTAGAGTCTCCGCAGTTCCAGGTAGAGTCACCGTCAGAATCCAGCTGCCCCCCTCGCGTAGCTAACCTATGCAGTGCCGGGGCACGCTTGACCTGCTGCGCAGCGGTGGACTCACGCACCTGACTGGCGCCGTTCACCACGACTTTGCCGTGTCGGGTTCGAGAACGCTGAACTGCGCTGCCTTGTCAGCATAAAGACCTTCAGACCACTTGACTCCGCGTTTGCGCCCGCCAAGGATGTATTAGCCGCTGTCGCGTGGACGGCGCGCGGCGACGTGGACGTGTCGGCCATGTGGTTGATCTCCCGCACGGTCGCACGGCGCGTGGCGGGTCCGCGGGCATTCTCGGTTTGCCTGCCGAAGGGAAAAACGCAGCACACGTCAGTGGCGCGGTGGGGACCACGCTACCGCTGTGTACCGGTGAGTCCCGGTTTCAGCGGACCTGTACGACACCCTGGAGAACATCCGGAACGCCATCGTCTCGTCACTGTCTGGGCCGGCCAAGGCGTTCTACGAGCGCGAGTTCAGTTTCTTCCAGAAGATCACCAATGTGTCGGCTCAGATCAAGCCGTTCCCGAAAGGTAGCGTGTGCGCCCCGGTCGTTCCGGCCGTGAACTGGCACGGCCTTGCGGAGGATGACGGGGATTGCGCGGTTCAAGCGCGGGCAGTGAGATGGTGATGTATAGGTGATAATGGTGTGGCAAGGGAAGGAAATCGTCGTAGCTGGAATTACCCATGTCACGTCGTCCTGGCTTGGAAGCCCAGTCCCCCATTATCAATAGCAGACGGAACTACACACACAGCCGGTGACCATGCACGCCAGTGGCCACTATCATGCCGTCATGTCCTTCTATCGCAGTACCATAGCGTGATGTCACGAGCCCCCATCCGTGTCTGTGGCGTGGTTCCATGATCCATGTCTCGAGCCCCCATCCATGTCTGTAGCGTGGTTCCATGCTCCATGTCTCGAGCGTGGCTCCACGATGAGCACCTCCTGCGCTGAGGGGCGGATGGCCGTGGCCCCGCACCTGGCAGCTCGGCTGACCCGGCCGGACCGCTGCTGTCGGCAGGTCCTGCTCGCAAGGAGGCTTGTCTGAAGGAGCTGCACAAGATCGAGGCTCAGCCCGGGTGCTACCTGCCGCCTATCCCCGACTGCCGGGTGCTCGCCATCGACTACAACAGCGGCACGCCCATGCAGAGGTCAGGGGTCAGGTCGTGAGCAGCCCAGGATCAGGTCAACCGTGCTTTCTCGGATCAGGTCAACCAGATAGTCAACCTGCTGATGGTCCCGGAACATCGTAGCTTGGCACTCCCGGGTCAGGTAACCTAACGGTCTCGGATCAGGTCAATGTGACGGTCCCGAACCAGGTCGCGCTGTTTCGTCTGTCCAGAGATCAGCAGAACGCTCCGGGGCCTCAGCCCCCCTTCCCCCTCCTCCCTACCCTCGTATCGACGCCATTTAGCCGTCTCAGCTGAGGGTGGGACGCGAGCACCACCGGTGGCGATGCAGTGCGCCCGCGCGGTGTCGGAGTACGCGCTGTGCTGCCCTGGCGGCTGCCCCCGTCGCTGACTGGCGGCCGGCCGTGCCGCAGTGCCGCCAAGGCGCCCTACCTGGCCCGGTTCCGCGTGGAGAGGTGCGGCATCAACGAGCTGGAGCAGCAGGCCATGCTGATCGGGGAGCCGGCCGAGCGGCGGCCCTCCATGGGACCCGAGAAGTGGCAGGCCGCCATATTCAAGGTTAGACGCCCCGCATCAGGCACGCGTGGCTTGGAGATACCGATGCTGAACGGTGTGCAGCGAGGCTTTTGAACATGACAAATAGACCGCGTATCTTGGCCCCACCACTGATGTAACGTGACTGCTCGAGCACGGCATGTTGCACTCGGTCTAGAGTCACGCAGACGAGTGGAAGGTGTGTTCTGATGTCATGTGTGCTTGTTGTCGGGGCCCTTGATAGGCTCCGCTGGTAACTTCACCACACGCACCGTACCTGATCCTACCTCATGCGTTTAAACAGCGGCCCTCGTCCGGGGTTTTGCACGCTGTCGCCTGCCAGGCTCAGGGTTCGGAGGTCAGGCGCTGCACTAGCTGGGTCAACCGGAACTGAACACCCGACCGGTCGGGATGTGCGCCAGTGAACGGCCCCGCCCGCCCGGCGCTGCGGAGCTATCGCGACGCTTCTGCTTACCCGTCACGGGTGTTCTGCAATGCTGCGATACGCCTGTGTGTCCTGCGATGCTCGTGGACACGCGAACGCCTATATGAAGCTACTCGTATGTCTGTGTCTGAATTGTTACACGCCTGTGCGCGTGGATATATCTGTTGTGACGCGTCTGTGCGCGGGTTAGGTCTATGACACAGCTGGGCGTCCCCAGGTGGGCGACGACGTGCGTCAGGACATGCTGGCGCTGCAGGTGATCGAGCTGTTCCAGAACATCTTCCAGCAGGCCGGCCTGGACCTGTTCCTCTACCCGTACCGGGTGGTGGCCACATCGCCCGGCGTGAGTCTGCGTCGCCCGGGCCGGCGCGGCTGGTGCCAGCAGCCTACTCACGGCATGGTCCGGCGGCACGGAGAATTAACAATTCGAGGTGGACAAACAAATCTAAAACATGCCGTGCTGTACACCATGCAAGAAGTTTTGCGCACCTGCGACGCATCGACCCGGGTTTTTAGAGCCAGCATTTTATTTGTTCCCCGCCCCTCCCCTTTTGAGAAGTCTCGTCTGCGCTCACGCTGGTGCTCATTCCACGCCAGTCGTTGACCGGGCTAGTGTTGACCAGTATTGGGGCTCTTGGTAGGCTCCGTTGGTAACTATCCACCGAACTCACCGTACCTGATCCTATCTCACGGGTTCAAACGGGGTTTTGCAGACGCTGATCATTTGTCGGTTTTATCAACAGTTTCTTCGTTTTTAGTTCAGCGAACTGAACCTGCCTGGAGTTTGGGATTAGGATGTGCGGTACATATTCAATTATATGAATGCTACCCTCATCCGCACTCACCAAGACAGCAAAGTATCCACACTTTTTTGTCAGACTTTCCAGAATCCCATCAGTACGATATTGGTCATAGAGCCCCGAACGGTCCCATGTTATCAACGTTGCAACAGTAACGCCACATTAACGAACGCTTGCCGTGGCCGTGCGGACGTTTAACGGTGGGCTTTGGGGTTTCAGTGCGGCGTCATTCAGTGTGTGCCCAAGGCCAAGTCCAGGAGCGACCTGGGCAAGGAGACTGACTTCGGGCTGTTCGAGTACTTCCTCACGACGTACGGCCATGCGTCCAGTGCCAAGTTCCAGGTGAATATGGTTTTCTCAGCTCGTCAGTGTCATGGCAAGCCTCAGGTAGTTCGCTTTTGGCGAAACTTGCTTGAAGCGGCACATGTCGGAGGACGCTTGTCTAGTCACGTGGCGCCTCGTTTCTCCGTTCAAGACTGGCAACATCATTTCGCCGCGTGTGCGATGGGAGCCGTTCTTGAACGGCGTGCGAGCCCGAGTTTACCGACGTGCTGTCCCTCTCAGTCACGCCGACAGGCGCCTGTCCGCTGGAGACTGTCCGACTGCCCGCCGTCCCTGTGTGGCCGCCGCCCGACTGCCCGCCGTTCATGTGTGGCCGCGGCCCGACTGCCCGCCTTTCGCGTGTGGCCGCCGCCCGACCGCCGTTCGTGTGTGGCTGCTGCCCGACTGACCGCCGTCCGTGTGTGGCCGCCGCCCGACTGACCGCCGTCCGTGTGTGGCTGCCGCCCAACTAACCACCGTCCGTGTGTGGCCGCCGCCCGACTGACCGCCGTCCGTGTGTGGCTGCCGCCCAACTAACCACCGTCCGTGTGTGACCGCCGCCAGGACGCCCGGCGGAACTTCGTCAAGTCCATGGCGGCCTACTCGCTGGCGCTGTTCCTGCTGCAGATCAAGGACCGGCACAATGGCAACATCATGATCGACGAGGCCGGCCACATCGTGCACATCGGTAGGCGTCGGCCTGCCGCCCCTCACGCCGCGGACCGTTCGGCCGGCGCGTGCCGTGACGCCCGTCCCTGTAGTGGCTGCGGGCGTCGCCGGGGTGGGACTGTGCACGGATGCTCCGTCTGGAGTAGTATCCGGGGCCGAGGCTGCTCCGCTCGGCTGGTGTGTGACGTCATGACTGTGTCTGTAACGTCACGGCTGCGTGTGTGGTGACATGGCGCGGGGCAGGGGCGGTGTGGCCGCCTGTTTGTGCGCTGACACGAACCCGGGCCGCTGCCAGACTCGGCCTCGTGTTCGTGTGACGTCACGTCCCGGTGTGACGTCACATGGACAGCGCGGCGACATTTCCGGATGGTGACGCGTGTGTTGGGCCCCCCGCCAGACTTCGGCTTCATGTTCGAGTCGTCGCCGGGCGGCAACATCGGCTTCGAGCCGGACATCAAGCTGACGGCCGAGATGGTGATGGTGCTGGGCGGCCGGCTGGACGCCGAGCCCTTCAAGTGGTTCATGGAGCTGTGCCTGCAGGGATACCTGGCCATCAGGTGTGTGGTTCTCCTGGCCGCTTCACGCGTCGGCCGCGCCGCCAGGGCTGGTCGTTTTGAGGCTCCAGCCAGCACACTGATCGAATCAGCTCTGTTCCCTGACCGCCTCCGGGCAGCGTCAGCCAGAACCTGGACAGGGAGGATGGTCACTCACACGCAGTGGGACACGGGGCTAGGCTGGAGACTGCTGGAGTCTTTCAACACGTTGAGGGGGATGTTGCCGAGGGATACATCAGGCTGATGCAACGTTTGCTATGTGGTGTGACCTGATGTCGCCTGGGGAATGTCTTACATCTCACCCGGGAGCTTCTGGAGATGGTCCAACATTCAAAGTGGCACACACGCCGACGACGTCTGAGACTTTTCAAAGCTGACAAGCGACACAGCCTGAGCATAAGGGCGCCTGAGGGCGGTCCGGCGCCTGGACGGAAGGCCGTCTGGGGCCGCGCGGGGACGCCCGTCTCTGGCGGCGAGCTGACCGGAGCGTGCGCCACAGGCCGTACTGCGAGGCCATCATTTCGCTGGTGTCCCTGATGCTGGACACCGGGCTGCCCTGCTTCCGCGGTCAGACCATCAAGCTGCTGCGGGCCAGGTGAGAGGCTGGCGGCCGGAGTAGGGGGCCAGGCGATGGGCGCGGGTGTGCCCCAGCGCGGCCCTGTCTGGCGCTGATGCGGCGGGAAGGATGGTCAGTCACCGCCTCCCGTCGCCAGATGGCGCGTGTCGGCTCCCATCAGAGCTGTGCCCAGCGCGGCCCTGTCTGGCGCTGATGCGGTGGGAGGCGCGGTCAGCCACCGCCTCCCGTCGCCAGACGGCGCGTGCCGGCTCCTGGCAGGGCTGTGCCCGAGCGCGGCCCCCAGAGCTCCGCGCTTCACCGAGGCCGTTTTCCGTGATCGTCTGGCCTGGCAGCCCAGTGGACGGGATCGAGTGACTGGTCAGTACGCAAGCCTCGTGGTCGACTCATGTGCCCCTGTATGCTGGACAGGTTCGCCACCACCTGCAGTGAGAAGGATGCGGCCGCCTACATGACCAAGGTCATCAACAACTCGTGCCTCAGCTTCCGCAGCAGGACGTACGACATGCTGCAGTACTACCAGAACCAGATCCCCTACTAAAGGGATGCTGTGCTACCAGAACCGGATCCCGTGTGAGGGGGACGACTCGCCACCGGCACCGGATCCACACTGTGGTGGTGCTGTGCTGTGGAGCTGGTCCTTCCTTGCAGGCCGCAGCGCTGCTGCGACCATATCCCGTGGCCGTGGTCTGGCTCCGCCCGCGTCCGGCTGGCGGCCGGGGCGTGCGGCACCCGCCAGCCACGTCTGGCCGCGGCGGGCGGGGACGGCGGCGCAGCGGTCCCTCCTGCCTCCCGGCCGACCAGCGCGCCAGGACTCCCGCCCGGTGGCCGCCGGGGCGCGGCCACATCGGCCCGCGCGCGGCGAGCCGGAGTGGTGACGCCGTCTGTGCCATCACGGCCTGTGCAGTGGGACGGCGAACGCTTGATCCACGGTGATGCGGAGCGCGCTAGTTAAGCGGCGTTTTGTGTCTCGCGTCTCCAAGTGCCGCCTTCACGTGTCAGGCCGATGCGATGCATACTAGTTAGCGATGAGTAGGAATTTTATTAGAACATATATATCAAGTACGGATATCTTAACCAAGGGGACGGTGCCAATAGAGCTCGAGGCTTCGGCACGCGGTTAGGGATGTTTGGCTTACCTGGCAGGTTCAGTGGTTTCGTTGTCTCCGTGCCGTGGGCTCGGTACCCAGACTGACGAACTCACATGGAATGCATCTATAGTCAGCGATGATCATGTCCGTTCCCTGTTGAAGGTGGTCGCCTGCTGTCCTGTTGTCATGTTGGGACGGTGCTGAGGTCCCACTAGGGGTTGTATCGCTGTTCCACGTATCCTGGTGCGTCGAGGGGAGAGGTATAGCTGGTTGGTTCTCTGGTCTAGTCAGGCAGACTGTGTATCCTGCGCACCCGGGCGCTTGTGACGTCCGTTGCCAGTCTGGCGGGGAGTGGGCCGCGTTTTGCCGCAGGCAGCTGTGTTGGGTTGATTTTTGCTGTTATACAGGTGGTTTTAAGACCGAGCCATTCCGAGATGTTGGCTGTTAGTGTTCTGCGGCGCAACCCGGTGTGAATGTGGTCACGTTCCCAATATACGGCAGTTTTGTGCAGGCCACACGCACACTACCCTGTCCCTGAGCACGTGCTTTCCAGACAAATCTTTAATGCGGCCGCTCGATGACGTGCATATTTTCTATGCCATTCAGATGTGACATATTTGTCATCACGTGTTGCGGTCACCGTATCTGCGTGTCAAGAGCTCTTCTAACATTGTCCGGACCGGTCCCTCTCTGCGGTCGCTGTAGAGCTGTATTTGGGATGCTTCCAGGAAAAACACATCGCAAGTTTCTCCAACCTACTGGTCTGCCTGTATCTTTCATTGGTGCTTTGCGACGCATTCAGCTACTGCTGCTTTGCAGCGTCGCCTGCCTCTCACTCGAGTGGGACACGAAAACAAAGCTGAACGAAGTTGTCGTCTCGCCAGTAGTGTTGCCTTGGTCTTGCCACTAATTTAGCCCAGAAGACGGTCGAATAATACGATCTCTTTTGTCCGGCTACATTCCCGAGTTGACATGGACCAATCTCAGCCGCATCGAGATACTACGCAGGCTGAACTTGGCGGCATATATTTCTGTATCGGACTACATATGCAAATGTGTGTAAAAATCAGAAGGAATCTCAAAACACTTCCACGATCCATCACAATATTACTAGGAAAAAGCTCATGATAATAATTTGGGCTTAGGCGTACGCCGACAGCCGAGGTCATTTTGCACACATGTCTGATATGCAAGGAGAGCCGGCGTCGGGCGTCCTCGTTGGCGTTGGACGGGCCGGCGTGGCAGCGCCGCCCAGCCTTCCCCTCCGCCGGCGGTCAGTCGGGCCCCGCGAACAGCCGGGCGATGTCCTCGGCCAGCAGCGCCAGACTCATCCCCTCCACGTTGGCGATGATCGCGACAGTGACACCGCGCGGCCGGCCGGCCTCGCGGGGGTCGCCGGCCGCCGCCGGCCGCACCAGCAGCACCGAGCTGCAGCCGGTCGCAGCGCCCGTGTGCCAGGCGACCAGCGCGCTGTTCGGGCCGGCGCCCAGCTCCGCCCGGCGGGGGCGCACCCGCCAGCCGCGCGCGTAGTTGCGGGCATGATCTGCCGCCGCCGCCGGCGGCGGCGGCGGCGGCGGCACGGTCCACAGCCAGCGCGCAGTGGCTGGCCTCAGGTAGCCGGCCGGCGAGGCCGTCTCGTCAGCCTGCCAGCTGTACAGCACGGTGTCGGCGAAGCGACACAGGTCGGCAGGCGTCGAGAGCAGACCGCCGCCCGCCCACTTCCACGAGTTGTCCACGTGCGGAGCGTTCTGCAGCCGCCCGCCGCTGCCATGCACGTAGTACCTGCGCCGCCAGACAGAGACGACCAGTGTCAGTGGTGGTGTTGCACTTGCCCATTAAGTGTCCCATTCCGAGTATACCGCACGTCCAGTACGTCTACGGAGTCCGTCCGTCTCCTTATTCCGGGTCCGTCTGATTATTCCACTGTTCTGCCGCCATCTGACAGCGGAGGAACCGAAGTGATTAAGTGATAAAACAAACAGCATGAACTTCAGACGACACCGAAGGACGAGTTAATATTGAGAAAGGCTAAACGTCGTCCACAGCATCTCTAACAGATGCGTAATGCGTGCAGCGCCGCTGAGAAACCCCAACTAACGAGCAGCCCACCGCCTGTGAAGACAGGACGGCATCACAACCCTGGGGCCGCCCAAGCTCAGGGGACGCTGGGGCAACTGATGCACGCCGTCGCGGCCGGCTGGACCCTGGCGCCGACCCTGGGGCCGCCCAAGCTCAGGGGACGCTGGGGCAACTGATGCACGCCGTCGCGGCCGGCTGGGTCCTGGCGCTGACCCTGGGGCCGCCCGAGCTCCGGGGACGCTGGGGCAACTGATGCACGCCGTCGCGGCCGGCTGGACCCTGGCGCCGACCCTGGAGCCGCCCAAGCTCACGGGACGCTGGGGCGACTGATGCACGCCGTCGCGGCCGGCTGGGTCCTGGCGCCGGCCGGGCGCGCTGACCCTGGAACCGCGCCTGACCGGCTGGAGCCGCTCACCTGGCGCGGTGCCGCACGATCGGCGCGTTCTCGTCCAGAAAGGTGTCGCGTAAGTCCAGTGCGTGAAACATCTGCTTCAGCAGCGTGGAGAACTTCGTTTGGGTGGCCGCCTCCAGGACGGCGCTGACCAGAGTGAAGCCGTGTGTCGAGTAGTGGTAGTCACTGCCTGTCGACACGACACGACAGGTCACGCTTTCGCTGGGTATGGACGCCTACGGAGTTCGCATGAACTTGAACTTCTCCAAGTTCGTATGGTAGATGTATCTTAATCAGCCCCCTTCATAAGAGTTCATCAGCAGCAGCAGTCCTCATAGGAGTAAATCATCAGCAGAATTAATGGCATTAAGTGTACCTACCAATGGCAACAAACAAATCCAACTCAAAGGTTAGGACATTCTATTAGTATGATACACTTACTTTACAGCCTACCGCTCAAGGCAAGCCTGGTACCAGGCATAACGTAAACAGGGACATATGAAAATTGTCATACCAGTTACATACAAACAGGCTGAAAATAAGTGATAGGAGTATCAACAAAGTGGCAGCCATTCAAAGTAAAACGCCTCAAACTTTAACCATCTAGTACGAATGCTAGACGGCCCAATGCAGCAGCGATCTCAGTTGTTGAATGCGAGTAAGCTGCCATGTGGAAGGACGCAGCATCACCGCACTTAGCCGGCCGGCTTGTTCGGAGCGCTCGGTAATGACATGTTACACGTCGGTGGTGCCGACAGCGCGAGCAAAACAGGGAAAACATCCACGAACCTGGCTTGTGAACAAGTTCATCATCCTTGAATACACTCAGGGCATCACCAACAGAATCATACTTGGTCTGGGTTCGGAATTCCCTGAACTGAAAATCGGATCTGTCAATTTCTCGCTGATCACTAGATTTCTTGACCTTGTCGTTCATTTTCTTTAAGGCCATTCTTTCACCAGCAGGCACAGTCATGGCATTGTCTTTTTCCCCGCCTTCTCTTTTGTTCACTCTCTCATTTTTTGCTATTTCTTCAACAGACCCATCCGATTTATTCGCTTCATCTTCCGAAAGTATCACATGCGCCAGCTTGTTTTTTCGCAACTTCTCCGCTTTCTTCTTAATCTCTTCCACCTCATGTTTTTGGCAGTAATGCCTGATTCCTCCTCTGTGCGTCACCAACTGATCAATAGTCATGTCCACCTGAAAAAAGATATTCAGTGATAAATCCAGCAGGCAGAACCATACCGCACGCTTGCAAGAACACCACTGAGAGGACGGCGCCAGTCGCTTCATGCATTCATGGGAACACCCACGACGATTAACAGCAATATTTTTCCGGCCCTTCACCGGGGCGCAGTAACTTACAAAACGTTAGGAAGTCAAAACTCGTTGATAATTGCCTTTTTATCGGCTGTCGGATTTTTCTCTGTAGGAGAAGGGGCATAGTACACGACAGGCCATGCCAAAGTTCGCGGATATCTGCCCTCACTCCGCCCCTCACCCTTGATGTCGCTGTTAAGTCAGAACTGTGGCCAGTAAACTTCCTGTAGCGGAAAATGACGCCAGATCTTTGATCATCTGCCCCACCCGTCAAGGCATTATGTTCCACTTTTAAGCATCTCTCACCGCAATAACACCGGACTTCCCTAGCACGGAGCACAACACCGGAATCCCCCAGCACAGGGCACAACACCGAACTTCCCTAGCCCAGAACACAACACCGGAATCTCCCAGCACAGAGCACAACACCGGAATCCCCCAACACAGAGCACAACACCGAACTGCCACAGCACAGGGCGCAACACCGGAATTTCCCAGCACAGAGCACAACACCAGACTTCCCCAGCAAAGGGCACAACACCGGACTTCCACAGCACAGGGCACAACACCGAACTGCCACAGCACAGGGCACAACACCGAACTGCCACAGCACAGGGCGCAACACCGGACTTCCACAGCACAGGGCGCAACACCGGACTTCCACAGCACAGGGCACAACACCGAACTGCCACAGCACAGGGCACAACACCGGACTTCCACAGCACAGGGCGCAACACCGGACTTCCACAGCACAGGGCGCAACACCGGAATTTCCCAGCACAGGGCGCAAC